AGAACCAAAATTTTAAACGTTTCGACTAAATCTCCAAAAAATGTCCAAAGTCACTTTCCTTTAAGCCAAAATGAAGCTTACTCAATTATCTAAAAGGGTTTAAACACAGAAATTGTTAAATCTTAATCCATCTACATAAAAAAAAATTCTTTCACAAAGTGTGTTTAACATGTATGAGCCCCCTTAAGCCCAGAAGGCTGGGATTGTTTAGGCAGTTCACCCAAGCTGCAAGGGATTGTTTAAGCAGTTCACCCAAGCTGCAAGGGATTGTTTAAGCAGTTCACCCAAGCTGCAATCTGTTTTAAGCCCAGATGGCTGGCTGCGGCACTGCGACTCTGCGACTCTGGGACGGCGACGGGCGGAGCGCGGGGACGTGTTGTCCCTTCGACGGCCTACGACGAAGTGACTGCTCCGGTTTAGTTTAGTTTAAAATGGTTTATTCAGATAATACAAGACCCTGTACAGGTGAATGGTGCTTAAGTTACCCGACGCAGTTGCGACCTAACACTTATTTACAAATCTGATTTTTAGTTGGTAAAAGCTGTTGGATTTGCAGGAAAGCAATGGAAAAACCTGCATCTTTCACGGGGTAGTTCCTTAAAACTAGTTAACGATTAGTAACAAGGGGTTCTTTACAGAGTTGGGGCTAAGATTCATTTCTTGATGTAGCTGTCTGGCCAGTAGGGGAGAGGGATGAATCGGGAGGGGTATTGAATTATTATTCTTAGGTTGAAGTGCCAGAAAGATGTTAATTTAGTGCCATGTGCCGAATTAGAATAGTGCCAATTAATTTGCCATGTGCCAGAATTTTAATTGGTATTAGTTAGTTTATTGCCAATGTGCCAGGATAGATTGAATTGTGCCAATTGTGTGCTATTTCATCTTTTCTTTCAGTGCTAGGCTATGATGGAGCTTCTTCCGAAGGATTGGGTTTCTTCTTATTCCGGAGGTCTGGGGACGTGGTTATGTTGGGGCATCTTTCTCTTCCCTCTTCTTCTCCTTGGAGTGATGAGATGGGGGAAATATTGGGTGGTTTTATCATAGAATTTATTGTATGGTTTGCAGGTAGTCATGCAGGAAAGGGATTTCAGTTTCCAGGTGAGCCCTGTACGTGTTGTATCTCCATCCCTCACCAATAGCAGCCTTGATGCATTTGTTTTGCACTGTTTGAAGTTTCTTGGCGTTTGTTGCTGATAGTTGGGTAATCCAGATCGGTGATGCGTAAATCATGATGGGGCGGAGCACTGTTTTATATAGCAACAGCTTGGTTGAAGGTGGTAATGATGAATTTTTGGAGGTTAGGGGGGCAATCATCGAAAAGGTCTTTGTGGTTTTAGCAGTTACTCTTTCGACATGTTGCCGCATGTGCATCCCTATGTCTAGGGTAAGACCTAGGTATGTCAATGTGCGGGTGGTGATAAGATTTTCTCCTTTGAAGATAACTGCTGGTTGATGTAAAATGCCATTACGATTGAAACAAACAAGCTGAGTTTTGTCAGGGTTGGCTTGGAGTCTCCAGACGTTGAAGTATTTCTCGTAGGCTCTTAACGCTGTATTCATAATTCTTGTAAGACGGGGTATTGAAGTTCCGGTGACGAGAAGGGCTGTGTCATCAGCATACTGTGCTACTAGTGTATTTGCAGGTGCAGGGACGTCGCTTGTATTTATGAGATATAGGTGTGGGCCGATGATGGATCCTTGCGGCACTCCGTCCAGAACAAGTCTGACCGTAGAGATGATGAGGCTGGTTACTATTTGCATCGATCTGTTGCTGAGATATGCCACCATGAGGTTTCTGATTTGAGTTGAATAGCCGAAACGTTTTAATTTGAGATGGAGGGCGTTGTGCCATATTGAATCAAAGGCTTTGGTCAGATCTAATGCAGCCATTAATACATGTTGGTTTTTCCTATCCAAGCCATGTATGATGTTGCTTGTTACGCGAAGTAGTTGTTCTTGGGTTCCTCTACCCCTCCTGAATCCCATTTGGGTGTCCGGGAGTACGTTAAGATGGCGAGTTTGGCGTTGGAGCCGGTCGGATAGAACTGCTTCTAGAATTTTGGATAATGCTGATAGAAGAGACACAGGGCGGTAGGAGTTAGGGTAAGACTTGTTCTTTCCTGGCTTCGGAAGTGGAACAACTTTAGCTTTTTTCCATGCTGTGGGGAAGTATTGAAGGATAAGGCAGCTATTGGTGATGTAGGTGAGATAAACTAATGCTTTCCGGCTTAGGTTTTTTAACATGGGATTGGTGATATTGTCTTACCTGGTGCTCGCGCCTTTTTTAGAGGATAGCCCCACCACGGCTTCTTCCCATACCCTGTCAGAGGGTAATGGATAATAGAACAATTAAAAAATAAAATTTCAGAGATATCATCAAGTTCCCTACCTGTAAGGTACTTCTTCAGCAACTTTTCTAACAGATAATTATTTTCCCTAACTGACTTGATTTGATCTGGCAATTTATTCTAGAAGAAAGAACCCATGTATGTGGGGTTACATCTCGAGATATTGCTTTTGAACAGAGGCAGGTGGATATCTCTGCAGTATCTGGTCTGACAACCATGGACATCAGTGTTTAGTTTGAAGTCTGAGGGAAAGAGACTGACATGAAGGATAGTGAGATAAATGTATAGGGCAGTGAGGAGATTAAGCATTTCAAAAGAATTACGGCAGATATGCATGCGAGGAAGATTGAGCAGAATTCTTATAGCATCCTTCTGGAGGCTGAAAACCTTACGGGTATGGATCCTTGCAGCACCACAGATTTCTTAAAGCTATCTTCCTTTTCAGGTGACGGATCACCTTAACCTTGGTGTTTGACTTTAGGAAGGCATGTTTATGTACCCTCATAACTTTTGCCCATGAGATAGCATCAAGTCCTGCACCTAGCTAAGCCACTGCTAGATTCTCAATGTGTGATTCTTCACATTTGACTGCCAAGTTGTAGATGGTCTTCTTTAAGTTAATCCTTTATGTTAGGTGGTATATGAGAGGATTCTTTAGTCATCAGGTGCAGAACCTTGTTTTTCCTGTGCTATTATGTTGCCAATAGCTTGATTCTCCTTAATTTCCGACGGAAGTTCTCCAAATTTAGCCTTCATTGCCTTAGCCAATCCATCCGACATCCTGGGGTCTCTCGCCACACAATGAGCTAACCCATATTCCTTATCTAGATTAGTAGATCTCCCTCCTCCATTGTTATCACATTTTCTGAGAAGCTGTCCTTTGCATTCAGTGCCATTGACATTTTGATGGTTTTGTCCGGCCCTTTGCCGTGCCCAATGGAGTGCTGAGCCACCTGGTTGCAGGTTCACTGCTAATCCAAGTGTGGACCAAGTCCACGCTAGGAAACGTGGACCACGAATGGTCCACGCTAGGAAGCGTGGACCTCGGATGGTCCACACTTGGAAGTGTGATTGGCCTATGAGAAGTTCAACGCTGTGAAGCGTGGACCTCAGCTCGGTCCACGTTTCCTAGCGTGGACCATTCGTGGTCCACGTTTCCTAGCGTGAACCATTCGTGGTCCACGTTTCCTAGCGTGGACCACCGTGGTCCACGCTATTTAGCGTGGACTTGGTCCACACTTGGATTAGCAGTGAATTATGTTGACACTGTCTAATTGGAATTTTTCAAACTTCTCCTCAAGCTCGGGTTACCTCCTGAGTAATTCCAGGTAGTGATCTTAAGGGATGGTTATTATCTCAGTCGATTTGTCACTGTCATCATCCGTCAGTAGCAGCTCTTCCTCCTATTCTTTCAAAGTCTGACAGGTGACATTCAGCAGCTCTGATGTCTTCTTACTCAAGTTTATCCTGATGGTTGGATCTCCCTTCTCTTTATGGTCACGGATTGGAGTACAGTTTCCTACAAACTCCTGGTCCTTTTCTTTCCCCAATATAACTTTCGTTTGGGTGAAAAAGGAATTATTTGGATGAGCGCTTTCACGCACGTCCGACGCCTCCGCCATCTTCATCTTCAAATCATCAGCCACTATTTGTGGTAAGACTTAGTGGTCTGAACAAATTTTGTTCTTTAGTCCCCTTCTTTGGTTTGGTAGTACCCTGCAGAACAACTCTGAGAATTTCCTCTTTTGCTTAGGCTTTTTACAGCTGTGCTTAAAAACTTGCTTAGAAAGGTAGATTTTGAAGAGTTGTCTCTATTTCGATTTACGTCACCTGAAAAAGTGGAAATGGTCAACAGACGGCACCTAATTTTCTGTGATAAGGTGTACTCAAAATGTCATTCTCAATACTTTCCTCTTCTTTGGTTTGATAGTCTCCTAAAGAACAACTCTGAGAATTATCTGTTTTGCTTAAGCTTTTTACAGCTTTGCTGTGAAACAAGTTGCCGAAAAAGGCAGATTTTGAAGAGTTGTCTTTATTTTGATTCTCGTCACCTGAAAAAGTGAAAATGGCAAAAAGACAGAACCTCATTTTCTGTGATAGGGTGTTTTCAAAATGTCATTCTAAATACCTTGCACTTCTTTGGTTTGATAGTCCCCTGAAGAAGAAAATACAGGACATTTCTTTAAAGTGATCCATGTTTGGTAGCCTTACCATATGTTGTAAAAACAACGTAAAATTTAATAATGGCTACCACAGCGAAAGGCAGCCCGGGTGGAAGGATCTGCGGATCAAGAGTAGCTTTAACTCAGTGGGAAAACAGCAGCATTGGAACAGTACTACGGATTCAAAAGTGTTCTTTGTAGGGGTGAAAACAGTTTTTCTTTCAGCATTATCAAGTTTCGTACGTACACCCTTAAAACCTTACAAAGTATTTTGAGCATACATAAGCTTACGTACAAACTAATTTACTTAGTTGTACGAAGAACTAGTTCTTAAAGTACGAAGTATTTTCTTTGTAAGCTTATTTAAGCTCAAAATACTTTGTCCTAACAAACTGCTTTGTTTGTTAGGCCTGAAATAGTTTGTAAGGTTTTCTCAGTGTATAACGTTCCGGCACAAGGTTAGAAAACCGTTAAATCACGAAAACATTGTGCTGCTACCCCCTCAAAGTTTCTTTCTTTTTTATCCCACTTTACTACTTCCAGACACGCGATACTGAGTTGGCTTCTAACTAATTTTCACTTATCGTGTTGGTGGCCATGACATACGCACGCTTCCGACCCTGCTATCACGGCCCGTGCTGCGAGGCCCCGCGCGGCACGCGGTCGGCTTGTCGCTCCGCAGCAGCCAGGCAGTAGTGCTCGAACCCTCCCAGAAGATGGCGACCCAGTTCCTCATCCTGCTCGGCCTTCTGGCCGCCGTGTCGCTAGGTAGGCCGTCCATTGGACTGTACACCTTCTCTGGGTCGCTGTCAATTGTGTGGATGGTAAGATTCCATATAAGAGATACACGGATAAGGGTGACCTTTGACAGGGTTGACCAAATTTGGCTCGAAGGTAGTCCTAGTGGTCATGCCCACAAACGATAAGGTCTACGTCTAAAGTGGTTTCGTCAAAATCGGCGTTTTAAATATTTACTCTTTATGGGGGCACACCAGTGAAAATCGTCGAATTTTAGCCTTCTTTATTATTTTATCTTATTTTTCTGCTATTCATCCCGAGTCGAACGCCGCAAACCCCACCCTAAAATTCCAATTACTTTGGCTTGTGCACATTTTTAAAGTTGCTAAAAGTAACTTTTTTTCATATTTCAGACCAATTGTTAACGTTAAGTTTTTTCACTTGAAGGTCAATTACAAAACCCTTAAACCACCCAAACACAGTTGAAAAGAGGAACATATTGGCGCAAACGGAACCAAAATACGTCAAAAGAGGCATTTATAATCCGAAAAAACACGTCAAATTTATGTTTCTAGAAGAAGGGCTTTTACTCAAAACACCTTTTTTGTACCTTTGAGCCACTCTCGCGGGCGCAAAAATTAAGATAATTTAATGCGGTTTGCGGCAAAATGTTCGTTAAACTTGCGTCTGTGGTTTGAACCTCGGAAATGGCCATCCCATAAATAAGACGTGAGCAGCAGCCATAAAAGCGCGAAACAATTGGTTAAAAAATTTATTTCTAATTTTACCTTGTGAAAAAACAAATTCAAAATCATTCTTTTTGCATGCCCGTGGTTCAGACCATAGCCACATGTGTCCTGTTGAGAAATTTTCAAATCCCGTGCTCGAGGCTTAATCCAGAGAGGCGGAATCGTGGCAGGAGTGAGGCAAGGTCGCATAAAAATGTAGTGCACTGGCGCTCCGTCTTGCCATCGCAACCCCGCCCTCCCATACTGATTTTTCTTTTCTTTGATATAATTTTAAGCCAAGAATAAAATATCAATCGAATACATAGGTTACTTTCCTCAGAATGATCGTTTTTCGAAACCTCTGCATTTTCACTGGTGCACCCTAAATGTACCCCCTAAATATTGCATTTTTTTTTAATGGCTTCAAATGGCAATTCGGCTTTTCATGCGGTGAAGCTATTTTGACGTAAAATGCGACGAGGAACCGGATCTGTCCTCGGATTTGGACTAACGTTGTGCAGTGTTTGAAGCTATACGTTATACGTATGCCGCTTACGCCATTCGAAAGGAAATTTTGAGAGTAATCCAACGGTACCAATATGAGCTTGATTGGGTGAGCGGATGCCAAACTTCGCCACAATGGCACTAAAACTTAAAGCTTGCAGTACAAGACTTTCCTATTCGAAAATAAGTAAGCGGCAGCATCTTTACTTGTCAAATGTGTACTCACTTACTAGGAATTTCATAATCTTTCGATTTGTTTAAAGAAAAAGTTGGGTTCTGGCCTTTAAACACAAGGTTTCTCAATTTAACTTAGCTGTGCGAATCGGCTGAGACGCCCCGTGCAGGTAGGCAACATACTTGTGATTTCAACTATTTTGTCAACTTCGAATGTCGCACCGTGGCCACTTGTCATCTGCAGTCAGATAGGGACCAGCCAGGTTTCATTAGCTTACCTGTAGACTATTGAATCAACACAAATAATAAAATTCGGAACACGAAGAAAATCTTTCCCTTTTCCTGTGTAATATGAAATATTTCCGATATTTCCTGATAAGACTCTAAGTGTACACTTCAAACCTAACTGTCTACTAAGTACACACAAATGCGTGCTGCAAGTACACACAAACGCTTGCTTGGCCAAGTACACACTTACAAATGCATGCTTGCAAGTACACACTTACAAACGCCGTATAACTCCATGCGTCAAGCATGCGTTTGTGAATGTGTACTTGTAAGCATGCATTTGTAAGTGTGTAATTGGCCAAGCATGCGTTTGTAAGTGTGTACTTGTAAGCACGCATTTGTAATTTTGTACTTAGTAGACAGTTAGGTTTGCAGTGTAATATGGGATATTTCCTATATTTCCTCATAAGACTTCAAGACACGAGAAGATTCCGGATATGCGAGAAGGAGATCACACACACACACACACACACACACACTGGATTCCAGAGTGAACACCCTCTGCTCATACTGGTTCTTACAGCGCATTGTGCTGAAAGAATCCCGCCGACTAGACACAGCCTCTCCGCGTCCACAGCGCCCCGTCTCACGGCCTCTCTGTCCGCAGCGAACAGCGAGTGCGAGTCGGGGCAGTACTTCCAGTGCAAGGACGGCACCAAGTGTATTTGGGGACCCTACAGGTGCGACGGAGAGAGAAACTGTGACGACGGCTCCGACGAGGAAGGCTGCGACGGTGAGTGCGGCAAATGTGGTAAATCTCGATTCTGCACTGGTAGCTAACGAATGTGACGTCATATTCGTGGGATCTAGGACAACTCGCCCCCACTAACTCGTCCCCGGCCTAAGTTGTCCCACGCACATCTCGACCCCGCCCATCTGGTTCCCAGGTTAACTCGCCACCAATCAAATAAGGTCTTTTAAATTCTTTTATTTACCTTTTTTAGAAGGATCGCCTCATGGACAGGTTTCTTAAATTTGAACCGCCCGGTTGTGACCGATGGACTCACAACTCCTAAAGTTGCATTTTCTGGGCACCAATGTAACCAAATTTTGGAACTTTCTTGAGAGCCATCTGTCGTTAATAAAGGAGTTTTGCTCAGAATCTCAGTTTAGTTAAAGTTTGTTTTGCAGTCGCTTGGGCTGCATCTCGATTTGTTCGTCAAATTTCTGGCCATATTCTTGTTGAGCAAGGGCTGTGCGGGATGACTTCAAATTTTCAGTCACCACAATCCCCGGCGAAGTTAAGTTACTCACAGATAAGGGCAAAAAAGCGATAAAATCAAAAGGTTTTCTTTCTCGGCCTATAATTTTAGCGATTTTATTTTTTAGGACGTTTCTGCAGCTCATGAGGCGTGGCCATGTTAAAATCGAAATCAGAAGGGGAATAGGAAGGCGTTGCACGTTTTAAGTAAATTAGCACCGCGCAAGTCAAGGTGCGCGCAAAGACATTTTTTTCTAAAGAATAAAAACATTAGGGGACGAGTTGGCACGACATTGGGGGCGAGTCGGGCCTTCGGCCCGGGCCGAGTTAGACTGGGGTCGAGATATAAGTAAGTACCCGGGACGAGTTAGTGGGGACGAGTTGTCCGTCACCCTATTCGTGGGAGTGTGAATTTGGTCACGTTCGTTTGAATATGATGTCACATTCGTCGCACCATACGTGCATGCCTCAGCCTTATTGCACCTTACGTGCGATGCGTCCCAAAAATGTCCAATGCTAATGCATGGGCATGGGAAGACATTGCACTTCATGTGCAATGCTTTTGCATTCCGATTGACGCTATATTCATAGCATTTGCACAGTAAATTGAAATGGCAGAAACCGCCAGTAAATGATTCTGAATTTGGTAGTCACAGAAACTGGCATGGGCTAATAGAAACTGACAAAGTCTTCACAGAAACTGGTATGGGCTCACAGAAACTGCTAAGAGGTTGCGGTCTCGCTGGCCAACCTAACCTCGCTGTGTCTCTGGATGCTTTTGTTGTTTTGGACATTATTTTCATATTTTGATGGGTGTGCACACTTTTTCTTGCTTAGACAAGTCTATAAATTAAAATTTTCCTTACGCGGTACATGTACACTCTTTATTTCCAATAATATAACACCTCAAAGGGGATCCGGACAATTCGTCCCTGAAAATTCGTCCCAAGTACTTTTGGGTCCGCAAACGATTCGCCCCCGGCAAAATTGGTCCCCCTTTCAAATTGGTCCCCAAACGTGTCCCCGATTTTAGAATGGTCCCAGTCGGGACGGTCCCCATGCCGGCGACCAAGACATGAAAACGAATGTGACATACGGTACCTCACGATTTATGTTAATGTGACACACGTTAACTGTCACATTCGTTTCAACGTGACATGCCCGAATTGTGACATTCAAACGAACGTGACGCCCCATAATCCGACAATCATGGCGTGTCACATTCAAAGGAACATTACAAATTGAGCATGTCTACAACGAATGTCACAGTACATGGGTGTCACATTCGTTGGATGTGATACGACATGTGTCCATGGGTACTATGTGTCTCATTCGTTTTAATGTGACAGTTCTCCAGCTGATTGAGTACCACACTCGGCGTAATAAGACAAAGCGGTGCCGTGTGACACAAACTAACATGAACGTGAACACGAACGAGACGTCAAATTCGTTGGCTACCAGTGTAGGAGGGTTGTAGATCGCTACGAAACTTTTTACGAGGAAGACGACATCCTGTCCTACCTGCGCGCTATCGGCCACAACTTGACGGGAACAAAAATCTTTGGCTGCACCTGTTCTTTCCGTCAGTTTTGAAATAAACAAACGAAAATTCAGAGAAACATTATTTGGGGGCAAATTGTCTTGGGACCAGTTATACGGGGGGACGAACAGTGTGGGGTACCTATTGTCCCGGGGACGAAATGGGGGGGTACGAATAGTCCGAGGACCATTTCTCGGGGACGAATTGTCCTAGATCCCCTCAAAGTCGCGAGGTGGAGGGAATCGCAACTGACGATTACGGTGCAGTGTTGTCCGGATTCCGTGGCGAGTGCACGGATTCCGTAGGCTGTGTGCAGAATGGGTTTGCCGTTGCCGGTTTTGGTGCAAAACCGCCCCGGATCTATTTACCTGTCAGTTTCTGCGATTTGGGGCTCTCAGACCATTACAGATTCTGCCATTTCAATTTACTGTGCATGGATTCTCAGTGTAAGAGTACAATTTGCTGTAGGCCACTGGCGTCACCTGAAACAAAATTGTATCAGCGTAGCATGGGCTTAAAATCGCTCCACTCGTGGAACAAAAGGAGTCCAAAGACAACTAGTGTGAACCTGTGACTAAACTTCCCTGTTGTAAAACTTTTTGTTGTAAACTTACTGTGTAGATTTTAGGCGTCCGGAGCGAGCTGGCAGGTGGTTGCTTTCCCCGGCCCGCAAGGCAGGTGAGTGTCCGGTAAAGATTCTGAGTCGTTCTCGTCGCTCTGTCTCTCTCGCACTTATGGGGCGTCCCCCTGGTGAGAGTGACAGTGACGAAATCGCAATTTGGAATGCGGCTGCAGAGCTGCTGCCCTTACTCCGTACCGTCAACGGGGGTAACTTGGGACACCAGGGGTAACTTGGGACAGTCTGCCCTGTACAGCTTGTTGGTGATGCCATTCAGCGACGGGGGTTCCTAGCGTCAAACCCGCGGCTGGATTTCGTTTTAGAGGCCTCAGGGCACGCGCGGAAAGCTGGAAGAGGTGCATAACATCACAATTAGTATTTGAGAAACGGGAAACTACACAGAAGGGTTTTTGACAAAATATGTCAATTATTGACAAGTTGACCCTAGTGCAAGGAGTGAAATGCAGATTTGGCCGATAAGTCTCTCTGGGTTGTTAAGTCTCTCTGGGTTGTTAGATCATACACAGACAATAACGTTCGCTAAAGGGCGTTGATTATAGTTTTCCCATCTTCGGTCCAGACTTCAATTTATTAAAAATCGAAATTTTACGGGGGTAACTTGGGACAGTCTTTTCCTCATGTTTCCAGCAGCCCTAGCCTTCTAGGAGTTGACTGACCCGGTCCCTGACATAACTTAAACTTCGGATTTTACGCTGATGATGGAAAGAGATGCCTTGCTCTGCAGTCTTGTATTCTGGTAATCCATATTTTGAAATTTTCAGAAAATGCTTGGATATTACCAGTAGAAAAGAGACTCCCACGTAGAGCCCACTGTTAAAACGGTTGTGACTTTTTATAACGAATTTTTTATGAAATTTTATAACATTGATGTGAAAAGTCATAACATTGACCGATTCATAACTTTTTCATAACGCTGTCATAACAAGTCGCTTGTAATGAGTTTTCATAACGTATCTATGATTTTGTTATGAATTTTCATAACACACTCGCCCGCCGCGGCGGGGTGTCATATACCTGCCCCATCCTTCCCCCTCCAACGCACTTGGTGTAGCTCAGTGGTTCACCCTCCGACTCAGAACCACAAGAGATGAGGTTCGAATCCCGGTAGTAGAGCATCGACAACAGTCAGTTTCGGAATGATTCCGTCCAACCAATGGCATCAAATGGCTACCAGTGACGAAATCATTAGTGTTGTTCATTTCACGTTTTTTCATAACAGCGTTATAAGTTTTCATAACATATGTGTTATGACTTTTTCATAACAATTTCTCAACAATGTTATGAAAATAGTTTCATAACATGTTATGAAAATGTTATGACTTTTTTCTTACAGTGCCCTACATTTAGTCCAATATCGGCCCTACAATAGTTCCTAGGCCTGAATTCTTCGTCTACATGTTGTGACTTAAATTTATTACATCCATTAACATCAATAGATGCATGGGAATGTAGCTTATTACCTACTGTCCCAAATTACCCCCGGTCATGGGGTAACTTGGGACACTCTTTCGAGAACGCTGGGAAACGATATAATCGAGGCAAATGAACCAGACAAGCATGAACACTGCAATCCCAGTGGTAAGTTTACTTGCCACGGGATTGGCAAGCCGTTTTGAATGCCAAAAATTGGCAAGCTTGGCCCGGAAATACTCCCCACCCAGCTTGCCAAAATTTGGCAAGCTTCGCCCGGAATTACTCCCCAGCTTGCCAAAATTTGGCAAGCTTATGAAGAGTGCCGACCAAAGCTTGCCAAATTTTGGCATTCAAAACGGCTTGCCAAATTTGTGGCAAGCAAACTTACCACTGGCTTTGCAGTGAAATCATGGGGAAAGGGTCAAACTTTAACATAGTTAGGATCCATTGGTCTGGGTTGCGAACCTTGCCTCTGCACTGGTAAAACTAAAGCGTAGTACTACCCTCTGTTTTCAAGCGTAATCAGTTTACGCTTGAAATCAAGAGTTACAGGCTCGTCCGCCGAGATTCCCCCTATCTAATTGCATGGGGAAATTTCCTGAGTATGCTTCATTTCACGCGTAACGCCTTCGAGCGTAACTCTATGCTTGACTCAAGCATAGAGTTACGCTTTAGTTTTACCAGTGTGGCGTTCAAAAAACGTGAAAAAGTGTCCCAAGTTACCCCCGTTGACGGTACTGCAGCCCATCACCTGACAGTGCTCTGCCCGCAGCGCCCTCTTGCCGCAACGGCGGCGACTACATCGACGGCGCGTGCCAGTGCCGGCCGGGCTTCGACGGCCCCTCGTGCGAGACCGGTAACGTTGCAGTGTAGCGTGAGTCAGAGCACAGTGGGCCAGAAGACCGGTGGAGGTGGACTATAGCCCGGTCGCTAAACGGGACTCGAACCGAACTTGTGACCCCATCAATGTGTACTAATCTCCTATCGAGGAGTCCAATGGTGGGTTCACAAGTTCCGTCTTGTTAAGCGACTCTGGAGCTGAAACACGTCTGGTCGGCCCGCGGGGGCAAACACTTAAAGAAATAGTGTACAGAGTAAGGGGTGGGGTGATTCCGGACACGGGGTAGTTCCGGACACTTTGATTTTCACTGGGTTTGAGTAAAGATAACTGAAAAGCCCGCAGGAAGATAATCAGTTAAAAATTATAATTCCAAATTGCCAAGGTGGGAGGTCAAACCGTTTGGCTGGTCGCTTCACGGAATTTGAGTACCACGCAACTTTGAAGGTCGATAACGTCGTTAATATGCATCGTACACCAAATCCGCTACCAGATTTGGAAAGAGGACAAAAAATTGGAATCTTTCTGCAAACATCACTTTTTTGTTTCAAAATTTTTAGAACTTTGAAACTTTTACCGGGTTTCGAATTTTGCACAGTTTCCAAGTGCCAACCAAAGTTGACATCCGTTGGCTTTAAACTTAGCTTGAACCCTCTAATCAGAAATGTTGACCACAAAATACGTTTTGAACAGTTCTCGAGAACGACCCATTTCCGTGGATCTCTGCAACACCCTGTTTCACTACGGTGTTTAGCGCACCCAGCTCGGGCTGGGCGCCCTTCCCGACCTAATTCAGGTTCCGGGTGTCTAGCGCCCCTTCCGGGTAGGCAACCCAACGTGTCCGTGTGCACTGGGAACCCGGTGGGTGCTTCAAGATAATTTACACGTGCATTTGCCTTTGTGTCTGTGTGTCGTCGTCGTCTGTGTACGTACAAGAGGAAGTTGAGCGAGAGTTCCCAACTTTGGAGGGCACTGTAGGAGTGCCTTAGATCTTGGAACAAGCTAGGGCCCGCCCTACCGTCGAACCGAGTTGCCAGCGCCGCTTCGCGATTCATAGGTGTAGGGCAATAGATCCACCCCCCGGCAAAAGAACCGGGGGTGACTTTACCGCGGGCCAGGAAGCGGAAGAAGGGGGTAAGTCGAGTTGAATCCGTGCACTTTTGCAAGGCCTAAACCTTGCAGGTGGAAGAACAGGTGGGGAATGTCATCTAAAAGTAGATGCAAGAGGATGGGACGTGTCTCACCACACTTATTTTTGGACCAAATTTTCGCTCATGTTTACTTGATAGACTGATAAGAGGTCACTGAAGCAACTCGACTTAACCCCTTCTTCCGCTTCGTGGATCAACTACCCCCCTTGGCTGATTCCTGAGAAGTGGTGGTTTTATACCGGCAACTCGGTTCGACAGGGGACAGGCCCAGCTTAGCCTGCCGGCCGCCTTTCCCGCCAAGGCCTCTCCAACGAGTGGTTGGAAAGGGGGGGGGGGGGTCTACGAGACCGCGTTCGGCAGTTATCACCATCAGTATCTTCGAAAAAGGGGGTCGACCGACTGAAAAAATTTATTGTTGTCTCCCTAGGTCTGTATCATTCAAACTTTACCTTTGCGCAGATAAAATATATTGGCAAGGTACTTATGTGCGTCATACATTGCCAGATGATCTTAGCCTCTGAGACTCGTCGTTTTGTCGCCGCAGTACACCTTCCCCGACAGGCAGATGGCGTGGCTGGGTGGTAAAGTGGCTTCGTAACTCCCAGATTGAAGGTTCGAGTCACCATGGCGACGGCTTTATAAGCGGTCTTGTTGACCTCCTAAAGGCAAAACTTCTTACCGAGGGGTTGACTATTTTAAAATATTTAAGGGAGACTTCGGGTCTTTCACAGACTTCATGGTTCTATTCACACTACAGTCTTTATATATAGTTAAGTGTATGAAATTTATTTATTTTCCACATATTTCTTACATAAGAAAAGTATGTTCTTAATTATCTTTTCCACATATTTCGCCAATACATGTTACGCAATATATTTTGTCCATATAGTGCCCATACATTTCTTCTTTGCAAGGGTGCAGTCGGCGTTTAACCATGAGCAGCATTAAGTTTCTCCCTAGGTTGTTGGCTTTATGTTTTTTGGAGACACGTCAACGATAACTTTAGTGCATTCGAGGTTTCGTGACTTGCGGTCTCTTGGCGTGATAGCAGAGCAAATGTGCGCGAAATCTGCCGTAGTACAGGACGGGAAAATGCCTTAGCTAGCCAATTCGGGACGACGTGTTGGTGATATTGTACGAAGTCTGAAACAGTAACGAGCGTCTGATAAAAGGCCCCTTTCAAAATGGCATAAGAATTTTTACCATAGCCGCCACCAAGTTTCCTAGGAAAAAATAATTTTCTTTTTCACACCCCCACTTATGTGTGTTGCTTTAAAAGCAACTTTCACATCTCGTCTTCTAATGCAGGCGACGTCTTTTTTCAAGAAGATTTCCCCCACCGGTTTGTTTGCTTCTGACTTACGTTCCGCACAGGACACTTTCGTGGGAAGCCTTCAATGGGTCATTCCACGCCAAGTCGTCAAGGTTTTGAGGGACGTGTCGGCCGAACCCAGCGGTATTTTCAGGGATTGTTGGCCCTATGGGCCCATTGAAGGCCCGGTACTTTTTTCCCGGAAAGTCGACAGGGGTCTGAGATACTCAAACTTCATTTTTGGTAAAAGAAATTACCTATCAACCTAAAAAAATTTATATCTCGGAAAGTATTTGTCCTTTCTAAAAACCGCTAAAACCGTTGGAAAGAGGAAGAGAAAATGAAAAAGATAGGATTTTTTCCAAAAATTCTCGGAAACTTTTACTTTTTGCACTTTTATAGTGAAATGTTAAAAATTATGCAACTTTTTTGTACCCTGATCAAAAATGGCGTTCTATGGCTCAAAATGTACCTTGATATGTCCTCTAAGCGAAAAGATCAACGCCCCAATGTATTTTGTTTAGTTCCGGAGAACGAGCGGTTCTTTGGACCACTGCAAGGCTACTTTTCCGCTGGAAGGGGCTCCCACGCCACGCTCGCCTTCTCTGTGTTAGCGGACGTGGATCGCCAGGGTTCGGCGACCGTCAGGTAGGATTTCCACCTCATTTTCCAGCCCACTAAGGAAGCGCTGGACCTCAGCGCCTGAAGGGCAAGCAAGGGAGAGACTGGGAAGCACGAAGGGTCACCTACACACACTTTTTTGGGGGGGTTGGCCGCGACTGTGCTCCGCGGTGCGCGTCGCCGCCGGTGGCGGACTGCGGAACTAACGCACTTGGTGGTGTGTGTTGTTTCTGACCATCGCTTGTTTGGATTAGGTGTCAGGCAGAAAGGTTCGGATACTTGCTGAATCTCGCCCTCCGTTTGTTCCTGGCAGTTTGGAGGTGAACTATGTAAGTTCTATAGAAAAGGCATATTTGAAATATTTGCAACGCACCAAACGTGGTTGGCATCCATTTGACCACACCAGTTGGTGCGGTATAGACCACGTCCAGAAACCAAGTGCGTATCCTAACAACTTTAGGGGCTGGCTGCCGGGGCGGGAGAGTGAGTAAATGGGTGGCTCGCAGCCTGCGTGGAACACCGATACTCCCCAGGTACAGCCCTACGGGTCGGCACGGCTCGGCGTGCGCGGACAGCACCAAACGAGTATCGTATGCTTCCATGAACGTTTCTTGAATGTAGATTTTCGTTTCTTTTCCCCAACCCAACCAGCTTTTAGTCATCTTTAACTAGTTTTGTCACTGCTGTCAAAATATTGCAAAAAATCCTGTTTGTATGACCTATTTTTGCCAAGACTTGAGCCTTGACCCAAAGCCCTAAAATCTGGAGGTCCGACATGAGCCCGGATTGAGCCCCGACCTGAGGCTCGAGTCCGGGCTGAGATCGGGGGCCCTATCAAGCTCACGCCGGGGCCAAAATCGGTTTGGGGTTTGGGGTTCAGGTTGGGTTTCTTTGGGCACAGGGGACAAGGATCGTGTCATCTATGCCAAACAAACAAATATCAACTATGAAAAAACACCTTCAGTCAAAGTAAAATATTTGGTGTTCAGCTTTCCCCTGCCCATATTTTCTCCGCACTGACCCCCCGAGAACACTGAACAAGTGCATACTTGAAACATTTTGACAACAGTGACAAAGCCAGTAAAAGATGACTAAAAAGTGGTTGGGTTGGAAAGGGAAACAAAAAAACAAACTACGGCAGAGAGCCCATCGTGAATCTGAACCAGCAAATGAATCAGACTTAAGCCACGCAAAGATATTCTCCAGTGTAAACTTATATAGTTCACCTCCAAACTGCCAGGAACAAACGGAGGGCGAGATTCAGCAAGTATCCGAACCTTTCTGCCTGACACCTAATCCAAAAAAGCGATGGTCAGAAAAAAACACCCCCCACCAAGTGCGTTAGTTCCGCAGTCCGCCACCGGCGGGGGACGCGCACCGCGGAGCACAGTCGCGGCCAAATCCCAAAAAATGGGGTGGGGAGGTGACCCTTCGTGCTTCCCCAAACTCTCCCTTGCTTGCCCCCTTTAGGCGCTGAGGTCCCGCGCTTCCTTAGTGGGCTGGAAAGTGAGGTGGGAATCCTACCTGACGGTCGCCGAACCCCGGCGATCACGTCCGCTAACACAGAGAAGGCGAGCGTGGCATGGGAGCCGTTCCAGCGGGAAAGTAGCCTTGCAGTGGGCCACAAGAACCGCTCGTTCTCCGGAACTAAACAAAATACATTGGGGCGTTGATCTTTTCGCTTAGAGGACATATCAAGGTACATTTTGAGCCATAGAACACCATTTTTGATCAGGGTACAAAAAAATTGCATAATTTTTTAAAATTTCACTATAAAAGTGCAAAAAGTAAAAGTTTCCGAGAATTTTTGGAAAAAAAACCCATCTTTTTCTTTTCTCTTCCTCTTTCCAACGGTATAAGCGGTTTTGAGAAAGGACAAATACTTTCCGAGATATAAATTTTTTAGGTTGATAGGTAATTTCTTTTACCAAAAATGAAGTTTGAGATATCTCAGACCCCTGTCGATTTTCCGGGGAAAAAAGTACCGGGCCTTCAAGGGGCCCCATAGGGCCAACAATCCCTGAAAATACCGCTGGGTTCGGCCGACACGTCCCTCAAAACCTTGACGACTTGGCGTGGAATGACCCCAATGTGTTTCGAAAGTCCCTCTGCTAGATCTGTAGCGATGTCGTCCATAAAAAAAAACGAAAGTCCCCAACCGGCATTACTAAGTAATGTTCTCTCCACCCCGACACTGTATCCCACTTAGCGAGATCAAGAGTGGCCTGTCAATGAGAGGCAAAGATTAATTTGGAAGACTTAGGGGACCAAGATCACTCAGCAACTCAACACTGATAAAAATTTTGTCGTAACTTAGCGACACATTTCCCCAAAATTTTTTTAGGGGAAAAGTTTTGGATTGGGAATAGTTGTTAAACCGTAGTCGTGTGGAACAAGGGATAATTTCACAACGACTAACTTGTAAAAACCCAAACCAACAATAATACATCAACGACAAGTATTGAAAGCCCAAAACAAATTGTGTAATGTCTGCGACAATATTCATAGAGTACTTTTGGAGTCGCCACAAACTCTCCCTGAAACGAACTTGCTTTTGTCACAAAAAACGAACTTGCTTTCTGAGAGCTTGCTCTTAAAGAGCAAGTGCGTTTGAGAGGAATTTCTTCTTAATTTCTATTTAATTTATATTTAATTTCTATTTAATTTTTTTTCCAAAAGCAAGTTTTGCTAATGCAAGCGTCTCTCTCGGCTTATTTTTTTTTTAAATTTTAAATTTTAAATTTTAAATTTTCCATTTTTTTTTAAATTTTAATTTCGTTTTAAATTTTTATTTTTGCCCCGTAATGCCCCTTACCCCCTAACACACTCCCCGAACGCGTCGGGGACCGTCCCCGAGCTCTGAGTGTGTCTGGCGGCAGGGGGTATCGCCGCAAGCTGCCGCCCGCAGCGCGCGGCTCGATGGGTTGCCTACCCACCGGGCTGATTCCTGTTCCGCCCGAGTGCACCAAGCGGTAAGGACGGCGGCGAGCGCCACGAGCGCACCCCCCGAACACGGGAGAGTTTTTGAACCTGGCCGCGCTAGAGAAGGCCCTCATCGTGAACCTCGACGTGCAACCAGTAAGCGTCGACAAGCATGGAACCACGGAGGAACGCTCACCCCGTTCCAGTACATCTAGAGTATAATATGGTTGCGCAGACATTCCGACGGCATGGGGCTGCCGCCAGCGTTGTAAGCCTCACTAGCGCACGGCACCGATCCACGCCGCATGCAAAGCAGCCCGTCACCTAGACTTCCTTCACCGCTGGGCCTATGCTGCAGTCTGCGGTGGCCCGGGCGCGCGCTTTCGAGAGGAAAAGATAAGTCCGCGGCCGCCCTCGCCATGCCACTGTCACCGGCATCAGTCCCCGAAGGTCAAAGAGTAGCCCCGCCAGTGGCGCTGCAACCGCCAGGGCGACACCGTACTACCTGGTGGCGGTCTTGCAGTGCGCCACGGCGGCTGGGCCTGGGGCACGTCAAGGACAGCCCGCCCCGCCAGGGCGACACCGTACTACCTAGTGGCGGTCTTGGAGTGCGCCACGGCGGCTGGGCCTGGGGCACGTCAAGGACAGCCCGCCCCGCCAGGGCGACACCGTACTACCTAGTGGCGGTCTTGGAGTGCGCCACGGCGGCTGCGCCTGGGGCACGTCAAGGACAGCCCCGCCAGGGCGACACCGTACTACCTGGTGGCGGTCTTGCAGTGCGCCACGGCGGCTGGGCCTGGGGCACGTCAAGGACAGCCCGGCCCCGCCAGGGCGACACCGCACTACCTGGTGGCGGTCTTGCAGTGCGCCACGGCGGCTGGGCCTGGGGCACGTCAAGGACGGCCCCGCCAGGGCGACACCGTACTACCTGGTGGCGGTCTTGCAGTGCGCCACGGCGGCTGGGCCAGTGGCACGTTCGCAGAGGTAGCCAGGAGCACGGCCTCAGTGTCCATGCGAACTGCACCAGCAGTGTACTAGTCGTTAGGCATTACCATCCTCCACTTCATTCTCGGGTCGTAAGGTGTGTATACTACAGCCTGCAGTGTGCTTTTCAGTAGCCATGAGAGCTGTTAAACGAGTTAGATCGTTTTAAGCTACACAAGTGCACAGTTTTCGGCGAAATAAACTTCTTGCGAGCCATAGAGAGCAGGCCCATGACAGTGTACCGTAAGGTTCCGTTTGCCCTTGTAAGTTTACTTATTACCTGTCTTAACAACAGTATATACTTTCAACTAAAGCAAATATTTCCAAGTGTCATGATGAGAGGGTAAGTTAGGAGAGTAAGTCGATAATAAGTAACACTTTATTTTTCAATTTCAGCACCATATACATATGATTGTAAAAACACAGCAGGACTTTACGTATCATACAAAATTAAGTCGGAATGCACGGCCAGCAATCTACAATTGTAAAGATTTCGTCTCTGGCACGTACGGAAATGAGTTCCGACATCCATCCGACTAGCAGGAGAGCCATTACGAGTATCGAGTACCATGCGCTCCCAACAGCAGGGAAGCCACGATTGAGCTACACCGCTCTAGCGTTACGCGGCGTTCGGGAGGAATTGCTTAGTTCCGACTTGGGCTACCCCCCAAATTGACTCCAAGAGAACCGAGTACTTCATCGCAACAATGCACAACTCATCCCGTTTACTTTATATTTACTGGGAAAAGGTTGCATGTTGCCTGTGCATAAAGATTTTTTTTTTTTTTTTTTTTAATTTGGCACTCCGACCTACCAGGAAAAAAACCTGCGACCGCTGAAAGGGAAGTTACAGTGCCATGATATCGTTGACACTGCCCTCCGAGCGGCAAGCTTGAAGAGCAAGCTACTCCGGCCTTAGGCACCCGGGCCCCGCAGAGGACACACGCTGGACCCCTGGAGGCAGCGGGTAGTGTGAGAGTCCCACTCACTAAAAAAAACCTGGGTCGAGAAACGACAGGATAGGAGAGGATAGTTGGGTAAAAAGGGGAAAAGAGACGGCAGTTTCGAGGTAAAAAGGCAGTTTGAGGCAGTTCCACAAACACGCCAGATCGATGGAGCACTAACAACTGAACAACTGAGCCACCAAGAGGCCGCGCGTTGGCAAGATCCGAGACAGCCGGCGGCGCCACCGAGCCCTCCCCGCTGTCGGAGGGGGCGACGACTCGAAGTCATCGCTGTCTGGATCCCGTACCGTCACACGCACGGAACGCGACATCGGCCAAGCGCTGCATTGGTGCGGCGCCAGGGCAGGTCAACCCAAGGCAGGGTGCGCAGCACTCGCGGGGCACCGGGTCGCAAAGCCTCCAACGCAACGAAGCCCCCGGATCCCGCTCCGCTACGCCCCGCGGGTACATGCAGCATGCAGCGCCCCGGCGCCCTTTGCGGACTGGTAGGGTAGGCCCTTTCGCGAAAAGCTATCGATTGGAAAGCGCCAACAAGACAGGCTGCGTGGAGCCTAGCGTCGCAGGAGAACAACGCGACCAGGATCGCCTTGTCAACGCCCACGCCCGAAAGCGTGCGACATGTCATGCATGAGGCCGTCCAAGACGGCTTTTAGCGAAAAGGGCCTAATTTACTCGGAGGGGGATGCCTGACAGTTATCACTACCGTATGTTGCTACGTCACACGCTTGGCACGCGACGCCGGCCGACAGCTCAAACCAAGGCAGGGTGCGCAGCCCTCGCGGGGCACCGGGTCGCAAAGCCTCCAACGCTGTGAGGCCCCCGGATCCCGCTTCGCTACGCCCCCGCAGGTTGAGGCGTTTCAAGGCTTAAGGCTTGCCTTCATTTTCAATAACGTAAAGACCTAAGCACCTCAGACTAAGCATTCAACCTAACGCTCGGAATATATTACGTAAACAGATGTGCTCTGCTTCGTATTACTACGCATGCCCTCCTGGATCATGCAGACCCATAACGTGGCGCAGGACGACCCATCCAAACCAACACATCCATCAAAACACCACACAACAAACGCACGCACACACACTCTCATTCAACCCACCCCTTGTCTCCTCCCTCCCTCCATGTATCTGTCTCTTCAAGTAGTTCTTGCGAAGTCTGCTGCCAAGCGCCAGCCCGTTGTGGTTGGTGACCATGTCCGCAAGACCTGGACTGAAATGGCTGTTGTTAATCTGAAACATAACTGATGTGGCCTCTGCGAAAAAGCATTACAAGAAACACTTGCATTTCAATCAATAGCTATTGTTTGATAACAATAACTATTGTTTGACTTGCAGTGTTTTTATAATGCTTTTTCTATTAACATTACCCTGACGTATTAAATTTGTAACAGAACACCTCCTTAGTATTAGTCACATAAAACCGTGACAATCAACACAGCTTTCCTACCACAGGGTCCTTTTCCTGTCACAATGCATAATCTACATGAACACACAGACTCGTGAGAAAACCTTAACCAGCCGTGCTCAGTCAGCAGTGACCCAACATAAACTACCAACTATCTGGAAAATCTATTAGGGTATGTGCGTCGACCGCAATACTGAATCAGCACCATGGTCGAAGTTATCCCAGGAGGATGAGTGAACCCCTAAGTTGACAAAACGAATTCAAAATAAAATCATTACTTTTCTTACATTTGCAATGGCTCCACTTCCACTAAGGGAAAGGGATTGACTACGACACACTGACTATTCAAAGCGATCCTCAAAGCAATGAGCATTTCCAAGGATTTAGTGATATTCCACAAATCAGAAAATAAAAATCAAGCAAATTGGCTGTTCTGATGTGCCCAAAATACAGGGCAAAATACTAAACAAAGAGACTAGATTTAGTTAAAGAAAATAGAAATTTGAAAAGTTTAACTTAACTGTGGTGTGGCTCAAAATTTAGAACAAATATACTTAGCATCATGCGTAGAAATGTGGATGAACAAGTCGCTCGACAAGCTTTCACTGAAACAAAGCAACAAAAAAAAAAAAAAAAAACACTAAACTTAAGTTGCCAAGCTGTTGTTGTTTTGAAATAAAATTGCTCCGCTTACCCGAAGGTGTGGTGAGTCACAAGGCCAGAAATTGGTATGAGTTGATGAAGCATGTTGAAGTCAAGTTGCTGCAACAGTCCAGGATGAAGTTGTAGTTCAATGGTAGTGAAGGCCCTGCAAACCATAAGGACGAGTAAGCAAACATTCTGGTAATAGGATTGACAAGAGACCTTGTGAGAGGCACTTGGCTTGTTCCAGATCAAACAAAATCAGTACTGCACTTTCTGTTCTAATTTTCCTCCCTCATTTACATCTTTTTGAGAAGGAAATATTTATCTTAATCATTACACATAACTTGTTTCAAAATTATATGGGGGTTGTGCAAGCTCCAACTTTTGTTCTATAATTACATAGAGTACATGTTCAAGAAGATAGCTAGAACATATTCAAAAGAAAAATGATTTGATAAGTGCCAAGTCAAAGGATAAAACTTAACTTAAATTATTCAGAACAAAGAGCAACTATTCAAGAACAGTTTCAAAGATATTTTTTTAACAAATATACTTTTGATTTATATAAAGTTTATGTTTTGGGTTTCTGGTCTTGTTAAGATAATGACATTCAAGTTGCTGAAAATACGGCACAATAGGATTACTTAGCACCTAACAAACCTTTGAGTTATGTGAGCTTAGAAACCAAGCGTTCCATTTCAGTCTGCGTAAACCAATTTTTTTCCATGCAGCTGAGAGCCTTTTGCAGATCAACATTTCATGGTTTCATCTTATCTTTGTTTCAGGTGGTCACCAAGTCTGGCTGTCCTGATAAGCTTTCTTCCAAAAGATAAACAAACTATGGATACAATTTCCAATACTGAATTAACAATTAGGTTTTTTTTACTGTTTTTTCCTTTAATTGGGAGTGATAATTTAAAAGCTTCCATCAGGACCTCAGCGTGACTTGTTACAAGACTCCAAACATATCTCAGTCAGCAGAGCAGTTAGTCATTACAAAAAGATTATTTCAAGCAATCCAACATGAAACACTAAGTGTCTCAGCATGCAGTACATGAACATTTGTTCCGTTGGGTTCACATGGCAAAACTATTGTCCTCTACAGCTAGCAACTTATACGTCATTAACTCAATTACACAACACCAAAAATAGAAACAAAGAACAAATTCTTTATAAGCCTTAAGGGTTGCAAAATAGAAACTTTCTGAACTTCTCACTGAGTGTTCGTAACAAGAACTGTATCAAACCACAAACCTGCTGTTTCCTTAATGGGAATCTTGTTTTCCTTTCCATCTTTTCCACAGAGTTCTTCCAGAGGCATCATTGTAATTCTTAATGCATTGCGTGAACCTAAGAAATAGAAACAGTGTTAAAAATAAAATCGCATTTAACATATGAAAACAAAGATTTCAAAAAGTAAACAAACCTTCTTACAAAGCTGGTAAGAAAACAGGTTGTAATAAATGTTGCTGACTGCTCAAAGGAAATTCTGCTGTACAGTTGCAGTATTTTTCATCCCCACCTGCAGGAAAAATATAAAAAACATTGTTAGTTTCAGCTCACATAGAAATTGAAAGCTAAAGCGGTACAAATTAGTGTCTGTCTTTCCAAATTGCCAAATGGACAACTTGATACTAAATAATAATAAATGCACAAGGCAACAGCAAGGAACAGAAAATTGAATGATACAGTTGTGGCTATAATGATAAAGCAAATGCTGGATTCAAAGAATCCGCCACAGTCCACGGTTTACCAACCGTCCTCAGAGAGTAGAGGCAAGCCCTCCGCCGGACTTCCCTCAAATGATCGCCGCAGCAGTGGCCCCCACTGCACAGTGGGCCAGAAGACCGGTGGAGGCGGCCAAAATCCCGGACGCGTTTTGAGCTTCTGAGTCGCTTATGGGACTCGAACCGAACGTGTGACTCCATCAATAGACTCTTCGTTCGGAGAGCAATCCATTTGTGGGGTCATACGTTCGGTTCGAGTCCCATTCAGCGACTCAGGAGGTCAAAACGCGCCTAGAGTTTTGGCCACCTCCACCGGTCTTCTGGCCCACTGTGCACTGAGAATAAAAGAGTCACCACTTTCGCCCTTTCGTTGAGTGACGCACGCATCGTCGCGCAACTTTGGTTGAGGAGCCAGCGGTGACTAAATTTTGGGCAGTCAGAGTCACTGCATAATTTTGGAAAACGTCGTCGGTCACGCCGTGAGGAAGGTCCCCGATGACGTCGTTTCGGAGCCACCACGATGGACCGCACGTGGTGTTGAGGCCTGCGGGTCTGACCAGAGACTGGGTCTGACGGCGCCCAACACCGAAGTCCGGTTTGTGCTACGTGCAGTGCTTCCAGAGATACGAGGACATACCACGAGGCCGCCGTCCGGGCACAGGAGGAAGTGGTGATGGTTTCGAAGCCAAAGGAGCTCTGGCCACGAACCTCCTTGGTGGCCGGGACTTTTGACTTCTGGGTTGGGTTGAGAGGGTGTTGGCCCCCAAAGGACGTCATTGGGGATTTCACGGCGAGGCCGACTATCCAGATTTGTGCGACGTTCCGCCTGACATCAAATTTCGGGGATTAATTTATCGTCACGCAAAATTGAGCAACAAAGTCGCATCACCCATTTGGAGGTTCATGATGGTGACTCATTCATTCTCAGTGCATTTGAGTGATTGAGACGAGCAGTTTGTCCCTTGCTCCCTCGCACCCTTGTGGAAAGCCCTATGAGTGCGACAGAGACAGAGCGACGAAACGACTCCTCCGAACCGCTCGGCACATGCACCCGCACCCAGCGCCGCGGCAGATGCATCACTGGTAAAACTATAGCGCAACCGAGTCAATCGTTCGCTTGAAGACTTTACGCTTGAAATCAAGCATAGACTACTAACTCCCCTGTGCATCGTGACAGAGAAAAATCTGGGCGGATGAGCCTGTTTCGCTTGATTTCCAGCGTAAACTGATAATGATTGAAAACAGAGGGTAATGCTACACTCTAAATGTCTTACAATGAAATTTGACCTAAGTTATTTGTATGTTACAGTGAATTCGGCGCAAGCATAATACGAAGCAATATTCCTTCGTAATACGAATCTTTTCAGCTTCTTCATTGTAAGATACAAAGAAAAACCTTCGTAATACGAAGAAAAACCACCTTCGTATTATGCTTGCGCCATTTCCTTCGTATTATGGGAAATTTCTTCGTAAGAAATTTAGAGTGTACGCTTAAGTTTTATAAGTGATCGAAGGTTCATGCTGACGCGACGAGAGATGGATGCCTCATGACAACACCACTTGAGGTGCATAGAGCAAAAAGCAGTGGGCACATCGGGTGGGGTTTACCTTGGCTGCTACGCAGGGGCGGATCGTTTTCGGTCAAGAAGGAATGCCGCGTGCTGCGCTGAACCAAATGCACATCATATCGGAGCGGAAGTCACCTGGACTCGTGCTGTTCCAAAGGCACCGCGTAGCACTGAAGCACACAAGCAGCCCTTCGGTGCATCGGTGGCTGGCCGGCAGCCCATGGGTCGCTCGAACGCGAACGCGGATGCGCGGGGGAAGAGTGGCGAACGACGATGCTGTAGGCTGTAGTATACACACCTTACGACCCGAGAATGAAGTAGAGGATGGTAATGCCTAACGACTAGTACATCATTGGTGCGGTTCGCAAGGAGACTGAGGGCGTGCCCCTGGCTACCCTTGACCCCTGCGGACATTGCCCTGGCCCAACCACCGTGGCGCACTGCATGGCCGCCACCAGGTTCTACGGTGACGTCCTGGCGGTTACCGCCCCACGGACAGGGCTGCCCTTGACCTCTGCGAACGTTCCCCAAAGCCAAGCCACCGTGGCGCACTGCATGACCGCCACCAGGTAGTACGGTGTCGCCCTGGCGGGGCCGTCCTTGACGTGCCCCGAGCCCAGCCGCCGCCGTGGCGCACTGCGAGACCGCTACCAGTACGGTGTCACCCTGGCGGGGCTGTCCTTGACGTGCCCCGAGCCCAGCCACCGTGGCGCACTGCAAGACCGCCACCAGGTAGTACGGTGTCACCCCGGCGGGGCTGTCCTTGACGTGCCCCGAGCCCAGCCACCGTGGCGCACTGCAAGACCGCCACCAGGTAGTACGGTGTCACCCTGGCGGGGCTGTCCTTGACGTGCCCCGAGCCCAGCCGCCGTGGCGCACTGCAAGACCGCCACCAGGTAGTACGGTGTCGCCCTGGCGGGGCTGTCCTTGAAGTGCCCCGAGCCCAGCCACCGTGGCGCACTGCAAGACCGCCACCAGGTAGTGCGGTGTCGCCCTGGCGGGGCTGTCCTTGACGTGCCCCGAGCCCAGCCGCTGTGGCGCACTGCTAGACCGCCCCCCAGTTGCACCGCCACTGGCGGGGCTGCTCTTTGACCTCCGCGGACTGCTGCCGGTGACAGTGGCATGGCGAGGGCGGCCGCGGACTTCTCTTCTCTCGAAAGCGCGCGCCCGGGCCACCGCAGACTGCAGCATAGGCCCAGCGGTGAACGAAGTCTAGGTGACGGGCTGCTTTGCATGTGGCGTTGGTGGGTGCCACGCGCTAGTGAGGCTTACTACACTGGCGGCAACCCCATGCCGTCGGGGTGTCTGTGCAACCATTTTAGACTCTAGATGAATAGGAACGAGGTGAGCGTTCCTCCGTGGTTCCATGCTTGTCGACGCGTACTGGTTGCACGTTGCGGTTCACGATGAGGGCCTTCTCTAGCGCGGCCAGGTTCAACAACTCTCCCGTGTTCCGGGGGGTGCGCTCGTGGCGCTCGCCGCCGTCCTTACCGCTTGGTGCACTCGGGCGGAACAGGAATCAGCCCGGTGGGTAGGCAACCCATCGAGCCGCGCGCTGCGGGCGGCAGCTTGCGGCGATACCCCCTGCCGCCAGACACACTCAGAACTTGGGGACGGTCCCCGACGCGTTCGGGGAGTGTGTTCGGGTAAGGGGCATTACGGGGCAAAAATATAATTAAATCGAAATTAAATTGAAAAGAAATAGAAATTAAATAGAAATTAAATTAAAATAAAAATAAGGCGAGAGAGACGCTTGCATTAGCAGGACTTGCCTTTGGAAATAAAAATTAAATAGAAATTAAATATAAATTAAATAGAAATTAAGAAGAAATTCCCCTCAAACGCACTTGCTCTTTTAGAGCAAGCTCTCAGAAAGCAAGTTCGTTTTTTGTGACAAAAGCAAGTTCGTTTCAGGGAGAGTTTGTGGCGACTCTACTTTTGTCCCTAAATTTATTTTTACCGAAATAACTGGTACTTTTTTTGCAGTTTAATTGTAGTTTACTACACTTCAACTGTAGTTGAACTACACTTTACCCGCAATTATACAATACATTACAGTCATTTAAAGTATGAAAAAAATTATTTAAAAATTAAGTTTAACATTACAAAAAATCTATATTTTTCCAATATAGTTTAAACTGCAGATCCTTCCACCCGGGTTCCGACCAACCGTTCCGGAGATATTCCACTTCAAAGTTAGGCATTTTTTTCGGCCTAAAATTTGTGTGATTTTGCTGGGCTTTTCATTTGGGGCATTGGGCGGTGAGTTCCAGTGACGCTGGCCTTTCGGTGCTGGCTGTTGTTCCCTAACGTGCCCTTTTAGCGCCTGCCAGGCAGGCCAAGCCGTACAGCAACACATGCGTGTCCGACTGGTGGCCTATCTCGCCCCTGACGCAAGCCGCGCAACCGCAACCGCCGCAAACAAAGGCACTCCGCGCTCCGTTCGCTGGCCTAACCGCTTCGCCCTCCTAGAGTCCCACTCTAGGACTCTACGCCCTCGCAGTTTCCACTCCCCTCTAGTCCTTTGGCACCCAATGACTCCCCCTCACCCCTCAGTGGTACACAGGTAGTGGCACTGTTGCTGTCTTCATTTCACTTGGCCATCTGAAGGCTTTTGCTGGAAGTCTGGGCATGAGCAGAAAGAGCAAAATAGACTTTCGGAACAGTTCTGTGCGCAATGGGTTCCAGTCGGAATCTTTTGAGGGTTTGCCTGCTTAAACACAGCCTGCAAGGACATGAAGATAACGAGTTATTACAGCCATAAACAAACAACAAATAATGCAAACCTAACCTATGAAACTTACTTTTAGCAGCAGTGCCCTCCTTCCTCGAGCTCTTTTTTTTTTTTTCAGGAACAGGCTGAATACCCGCTCTCTGAATCTCATTCAGCAGTCTTGCTGATTTAGTGTTATCTAAAACGACGCAGTTGAAAGGAAATTTAGTACTAAACTCATGAACAAGCGCACCGGGCCGGACGGGTGAAAACTTACCGTGGTCGAGCATCCGTGCGGTTCTCTGGTCCACACGAACAACATATCGACGTAGCAAGTTGTCGTACGGCGAATAATCTATCAGGTCCATCGCTGGTCAATTATCATGTAGATTAATGTAATGATCTGATAACACGGTTCGGGTCACCTCACTCTTTAGGATCTTCAGGCGGGCTACCTTCGCTTCGCTTTCGCGGGAAAATATCGGACGGTTCGTTTGTCTTTTGTTGGAGAGTCTTCGGTGAAAATACGGCAGATGGCGCTAGTGTGTGCTATCCCTTGGCTACCCTTGGCCGCCCCCCACTCCAAGTCGGATGCCGAGTCGGATACTCAATCGGATATCAAGTTGGATGTCGACTCGGAGCTCCTTAACTGAATACAACTCTGTTCACTCTCAGCCGTTTACTGACTATTTCTCATTAGCATACGTATTTCTGTAAGCAACCATAATACTTAGTATTTAGTTCTTAAATACTTAAAAATTTCTTTGTAATTTACGAAGAAAACGGCAATATTACTAATTACTGTACTGATATTTATCAGTACAGTAATTAGTAATTGCTACGTAATACTGACAAAAAATACGAAGTATTATGGTTGCTTACAGAAATGCTTATGCTAATGAGAAATACACGGTAAAAGCGGTTCCTGGTTTTCCCAGGAACACCCTGGAAATCGCCTATGTCTTCGCCATAGGGCTCCTGGGAAAACCAGGTACCGTTTTTGCCGTGTAGTGAGTAAACGGCTGAGAGTGTTGCTTTCCGACAGCGTGCGGCCCGGACCGCGTTGGGGAGGCCTGCGCGCTGCGCTGCTCGGAGACGCGGGCCAACGCCGGCAAGGGCTGCGGCGGGGTGCGGTTCTGAGCGGGGGACGAGTGCACGTGCGCCGCGGGGCTGCACGGGCCGCTCTGCGACCAGGGTGAGTGTCTGTGGCCGAACCGCAGTGGGCCAGAAGACCGGCGCCGGCGGCCTAAATTCCAGACGCGTTTTGAGCTCCACAGTGTTGTTGAACTCGGACCGAACGTGTGACCCCCACCAATGGATTCCTCGTGCGGAGAGCAATCCATTGGTGGCGTCACACGTTCGGCTTTTAGCGACTCCGGAGCTCAAAACGCGTCGGGGATTTTGACCGTCTTCTGGGCCACTGCGCGACGCGGCTGCACTGTTAGCACTGCAGGTCTGCATTGGCTGGCAGTCTGGCCTTCGGGCCGCGGGAACCTTGGAGCGACGCTGAGAGACTAGGGAAGGGCAACTCATATATTACTTCGTACGCGGTGGCTATATTACCCGTATATTACCTGTATATTACCATATATTACTTCCATATTACCACAATTTCGCCTCTATAATACCCTTACATTACTATATATTACTTTGTATCACTTTATATTACACATATATTACCTATATTACTGGTAATATACTCCGTACACGGCCAAGGGAAGTTGCCGACCCCTCGCTGAGAGAGCACCTCAACTTATTTGAAGTTAACTTCTGCAAATATATCATTGAAATTTAAAAGGTGAGACATGTGACCAATTGTCGGTGACATAAAAAGAATGACCGGAAAGGGGCTTTTAACAAATGTTTAACTGATAAAGACCCATACTTAAATGCATGACCAAAAAAGGTCCAGACATTAGCGAGACTTGGCTCTCGTTTAGCTTGCAAATCAACCTTTGACACAAAGATTTTGATTATTTTTCGGTCATACATCGAAGTAAGACCCTTTCTATGACATAATTTTGAGTATCATCCCTAAAAAGGGTCAAAAGCCTCACCTTTATGTTTTAGTGATAAGGGCTGGAATTTCCTAGACACCTCGGTGGCATTGGTAAGAATACTGCAAACTCGCCAAGCACGCACTAAATGGAGTCAACCGCAAGGCACGCCCTGTTACTTGAGCCATTTTACTAAAGTTTTTTTTTGTCAGTGTGCCAGGGCGGCTGGTACGGCGCGGGCTGCGCGCTGCGGTGCGGCCAGTGCGTGGGCGGCTGCGACCCCTACACCGGCGAGTGCCTGCAGGGCTGCCTGCCGGGCTTCGTCGGCGCCTCCTGCCAGCAAGGTGAATCTTGGCGTTAGCACGCACTCTTTCCCCGCCCCTGCCCAGAGAGCCCTTCAGTTACCCTGCAGTTGGAGAGCATCATCCCTGTAAATCTAAAGGTGCACACTGCCAATCCAAGTGTGAGACAGTCTCACACTATTTCGTGCGAACCACTGTGTCTCACGCTTCCAAGCGTGAGCCACGTTTGTCCCACGCTTGCAAGTGTGGGACACCGTTTGTCTAACACTTCTGTGAGACACGGTTTGTCCCACACTTGCTGCCTGTGGTTCACGTTGGTTTAATTCCACGGAACACATGACGAGCCGTGTCTCACACTTGTAAGTGTGAGACAAACGGTGTCTCACACTTGCAAGCGTGGGACATACGTGGCTCACGCTTGTAAGCGTAAGACACAGTGGTTCGCACTAAATAGTGTGAGACTGTCTCACACTTGGATTGGCAGTGTGATAGTACCTTTTTCGACGATACAATTGGGTATCGCCAACAACACTACAAATCCAAAGGTCAGACTTCTCGCCACTCCAGAGGCAAGACATAAAAGTCTCGCCAAGCTTTGGTCAGATCTAAAAGTCTCGCCAAAATTTGGTCAGACATAAAAGTCTTGCCACAAAACGGTCAGACACAAAAGTCTCACCACAAAATGGCGAGACTTTTGTGTCTGACCGTTTTGTGGCGAGACTTTTTTGTCTGACCAACCAAATTTTGGCGAGACTTTCAGGTCAGACCGAAACTTGGCGAGACTTTAATGTCTCGCCATATTTTGGTGGGAAGTCTTTCCATCCAATTTGCAGTGAAACAGCCTGAACGAAAAGTCCTGCCCGCAAACGGTGATACACAAAAGTATCGCCAAAATTGTCGATGTTCTCCATACGATCTTACAATATTCTCCGTAGTACGTTACAGCGTTCCTCGTATTATGTCCCAATGAGCGGATGCCCGACGATTTAAGTTGCCAAGGATAGGAACTGACGGAGACATACATGTGAATATTAGACTGATTTATTGAAGACTGGCCAAGACTTGAACAGGAATACAAAAGACAAACGATACTTCACATAATGAGTTGTTAAACACAGACTTAAGACTATCTGCAGTACATACACAATATTCTCGGGGGACACAATGTTTAACTTTACTAATTCACAAAATACAAAAATATCAAAATACAATGAACGTAACTAATTACATCACACTAGAGAACAGCGAGACAACTGATTGATATGAGGTTCGCGAATTACACCTTGAACATTTATGGCGTACCTCGTACCAGCAAAATATCTTACTACAATACCTTCCACAACTTGATGTTACTTGGAAAGTTTAACTAACACTTATTCTCCATCCCTGAATGGAAGAGACTTCAGCTCAGGATTAGAACTAGGTATTAAGGATCAAAATGGAGAGAAGAAATGTAAAGCAAAATGTGGTAAAATCAGTAGAAAATACTAGCATTAGAGGCAAAGATTTGCGTTACAGGTAAACACCACTAAAATACTCTCAGCGTACACTCTTCAAAACATCTGGGTGTATGGTGTAGGTTCCGGGCTTGTTGCCACAGGCAGTGAACCACCAATGACTGGAAACTTTTCTCTGCCGTACAGTGAAGAGTGTCTCTCGTAATAGGGAGGACAGCTTGTTGCAATAATCATCTTTCAATTGCTCTTTATCGGTGACTACACTAAAGGTTCCCTTCGCACTCACTAGTTCAACCTAAAATGACACACACAGTAGTAGATGCACACACATATCAATAATTGAAGAAAGACATAAATTCATAGCAATTACCTGTTTCACATTAGAAGGTATTTCCTTTAGTTGCAAGTATTGTTTCTCTGGTTCAGCCTTAGAACCGTTAAATACATTGGAGAGATCCAGCATAAATTGTTTATACATAGGACTATCTGTAGAAATGAGACAATGTTCTCTCAAAATACAGATTGATAGATAAGATATACAAGACAAACAAACTGAACTCAAAATAATAGCTACCATATTTCGGAAGCATTAAGCACACATCACATGAGCACCATTTATCACCAGAGGGACTTCTTGAACGAGTTTTCTTAGGAAACCTCTCCTCATCATCCAGTTCCTGGCTCACTTTCTGCTCTACAAATCGAAGAGCGCACATACCACCCTGTTGACCACCGTGACCACGGGATTGATGACCACCTCGCAACCTCACTGAATTTACTTGGTGAGCCAGCTGTTTCATGTAAATCCGGATACGGTCATCATTTATGGCGATTCTTTTGCACTACTCGTACGTAAGTTGAGGGTCCAGCAACTTAACCTTGGTATCAGCGTAGCGGATGCTAGAGATCAGACGTGTTTTCATCACCATGTTGTAAGCTTCTCCGAAAGTGCAATTTCGAGCCAGCATTTGGATGGCTTTGACATACTCGAAAACTGACTCAGAAGTGGGATGCGTCCGTGGAAGACAACTCGGTTGCTTTCCTGATGGCTGGGATTCTCAAAAACTTCCTTGATGAGGTCGGACAAATGACCTGGAGAACTCTCGCGGGAAGTGTGGAGCACACGCTGCAGAGACTACTTCAACCGCACCATTTCCAATGTTGGACAGGAACAGCGCACGACGCCGGTTGTGTTGCGGCAAGACACGGTTCTGAGCATTTACCGGTTCAAGCGGCACACCATTAGCGGCGCAAGAATCACTCAATTGTCCCAACCACATGTCGAACTTGTGGTTGTTTGGATCGTATACTTTTCCAACGGATTGGATTGGATTCAGTATTATTGCCGGCTGGGCCATCTTCCTTCTTCATCGATGACACTTAGACACAATACTTCGGTGACTTCGTTCACAGACTCGTCGCCAATATTATGTCCCAATGAGCGGATGCTCGACGATTAAAGATGCCAAGATCCCCGACATAGACTGATACTCCCAGCTGTTTGATAATTGTTCCAACACTGTTAAAAAATGGTTGTGCAGAAACAATCAGATGAGTGAAAATTTAGTCGTTCCAAAACATAGAATTTCATCATGAACCAAAGCGAAACAAATGTCGTTGATTCAAGTAAGCGACAATTTTTCGTTGAAGAACAATATTCTTGTCATCACCCTTAACGATACAATTTGTGTGGGAACAACATCTTTTGCAATTATCTGCTCAATTAAAGCATATTATGAATATTCATCTATTTTGTTCGCTCAGTCGTAATGAAATTACTATTGATAAAAAAAGAATCATGCCAAATAAATTTAGCGACAAAAGTAGTTCTCCATGATGAGTACTTGTTGCAGACATAACAAAATCTTTTTCGACTTACAATGCTTGTGCTTGACTAACAACGTTTGTTGTTGGTAAACGACTTGTTTTTGAAGGTGGACTGTTGATGTGTTATTTCAAGTTAGTCGTTGTGAAATTATCCTTTAGTTCCTGTACGACTATGGTTTAACAAGCTATTCGTTCCTCAACAAATGTTGTCGTAAAAAAAGTTAGCGATAAATGTGTCGCTAAGTTACTACAAAATTTTTGTCAGTGAATCTTGGCTGTCACATCTTTAGTCATCATGATTTTAACTCTTTCTCCTGGCAAAAGGACTTGAGTGGTTGGTTTGAAAGCGTTGGCTTGAGATCTTGGAGAAAGCACCGTTAACTTGTGTCGTGGCACAGACTCTCTAAACTATTGGTCTGTAACATCTAGTCTTCTTGATACCTTCTAGTTCTGATCTTTTAGAGTCATTTCAGGAAGGGCACGAAAGACACCGTTTGACTTCAGGAGCCCAACTGAACTGATTTATTCAAAGTAGACAAAAAATACACACATCACTGCGAATGACCAACAGACACAAATCGACAAAAGACGACTACGAATACCAACTTCCGAAATACACAATACCCTTCGGGTGCATAACAATTGAACAACTTGAATTTACTTCAACAGTACTAGTTCCAAAATTATTTTTAACTACTAGGATTTAGCATTCAAAATTATTTTAACTAAGTTACTAGAAATTAACATTTTGATTATTACAACATCACAATTGAGATCAATTGGTTTTCATCTTAAGAATTACAAAGCAAGTTCTGACTAGGAACAATTAAAATCTTTTACAACAGAACATCTTCTAAACAACAAAACTTTACCTCAACAAGTCTTTACTTCCAAACACTTCTGATGCATAATTTCAAGATTTAATCTTGGTGCAGGTGTTCCTTTATTGGAACGGCTTGAGCGACGTTCCTCAGTTGGGCCTATGGGCTGACGTGAAGGACCCTCTTGACTTCTTGGCTGCGTCTATGTGTTCACTGAAGGTCTTGTAGTCGGGTCTGGAACCGTCTCATTGGGTACACTTGCTGATAATTGGTTCAAATTAGATAATGATGGTGTCAGGCGCGGATCCAATTCTGAAAAGTAGGCAACAAGTCGCACTTCGCCCCTGTAGGTAGGCAACTTTGCGACCCCCCCCCCCCCCCCCGTCTCTGGATCTGCCTTAGATGGTGTACCTTCTCGATCCACGATATAGACTGATACTCCCAGCTGTTTCATAATAGTTCCGATCTTGGCTGTCACATCTTTAGACATCTTGATTTTAACTCTTTCAACTGGCAAAAAGACTTGAGTGATCTTAAGAGAGCTGTTTGATAATAGTGTCAATCTTGGCTGTCACGTCACATCTTTAGACATCTTGATTTTTAACTCTTTCTCCTGGCAAAAAGACTTGAGAGATCATAAGCGTTGGCTTGAGATCTTGGTGAGAGCAACGTTAACTTGTGTCGTGGCACAGTCTGCCTAAACTATTGGTCTGTTACATCTAGTCTTCTTGATACCTTCTGGTTCTGATCTTTTAGAGTAATCAGGAAGGGCACGAAAGACACAGTTTGACTTCAGGAACCCAAATGAACTGATTTATTCAAAGTAGACAAAAGAACACACACATCGCTGCGAATAACCAACAGACACAAATCGACAAAAGACGACTACGAATCCCAACTTCTGAAATACACACTACTTACTAAGTACACACTGTACCAAAAATTTCCTGTCAATGCCGTTAATTTATTACCAATGTTTGCTGTTATGCAATTCACGGCGTGTGCTGTGAACTAGTTCACGGCGTTCACTGTGATCTAGGTCACCACTGTGATCTAGGTCACAGTGTTCACTGTGATCTAGGTCACAGTGTTCACTGTGATCTAGGTCACAGTGTTCACTGTGATCTAGGTCACAGTGTTCACTGTGATCTAGGTCACAGTGTTTACTGTGATCTAGGTCCGAGGGGGCAAAAACTCGGGATTTTCGTGTACACATGATTCGGAAAACGCAATGATTGCGCATGGTTTTAATTGATTTCATGGCTGATTTTGCCTTATTTCGCGACGCACCAGGGTGATGTTGAGCGTGATTGCGTGTGATTGTGTTCGGAAAGAAATGATTTCGGACTGATTTGGCCTCGTTTCGTGTGATTCTGCCTAATTTCGGTCGATTTTAGTGATTTTGGCTGATTTCGGATTGCTTGATTTCGCGTGATTCTCAATGATTCGCGTGTGATTTCGGGGGCCGTGTACACATGATTGCGCGAGTTTTTGCCCCCTCGTCTAGGTCACAGTGTTCACTGTGATCTAGGTCACAGTGTTCACTGTGATCTGGCTACAGTAAACGCCGTGAATTGGAGCCTGATTTGCAGTACTTCGGTGCTCAGCGGCGTCAAACTCAGTGTTTACTGTGGACCAAATCACAATGAACACCGCGAACAAGATCACAGTGAATCGCGTGAGCAGAGCACATAAAACGCTGTGAATTGACCTACAGTGAAAACTGGTAATAAATTAACGGCATTGACAGGACATTTTTTTTTACCGTGCACACTTACAAACGCCAAAGTCCAGCATGGAGTTTTAAGGCACCAAGCATGCATTTGTTAGTGTGTACTTGCCAAGCATGCGTTTGCAAGTGTGTATTTGACCAAGTATGCGTTTGTAAGAGTGCACTTGCGAGCATGCATTTGTATAAGTGTGTAAGTAGACAGTTAAGTTTGCAGTGTGCTCGTGGCGTTCGAACTCCCTTGCCGCAGAGCTGGTGCACCTGGTGTCGGCGCCCAACGTGTCGTCCGTGACGGCGCACTCCGTGTCGGGCTGGGTGCGCCTGGAGGGCAACACGGCGGGCGGCGGCGAGGCGCGCCACCTGGCGCTGCAGTACCGCGTCCCCGGCGGCCCCTGGACGGCCGGGCCCGTGCTGCCGCCGTCCTCCGCGGCCTTCTCGCTGGACGGGCTGCCGGCCGACGCCGTGGTGGACGTGAGGGCGCTGCTGCTGGACGCCTCGCTGCAGGCCTTCCCCGGCGTGCCGCAGGCGCGCGTGCGCACTGGTAAGCCTGGTGAGAAGCCGACGACCTTGTTCAGCTCGCACCAATATGTCTCATGCTGCCACTTTAGCCTGACGCCTGCAAGTGTGAGCCACGGCTTGTCAAACATTCGCCGCCTATGGATCCCTGCGTGTCATGCCGCGGGTGCCATGCGTGCAAGTGTGCACAGTAAAAACTCTACGAAGAATCGCTTCGCACTACGAAGAAAATGAAGGCATTGTAAATTCTACGAAGAAATGCTTCGTATTATGAAGCAAAACCTTTTGTAATACGAAGCATTTCTTCATAATACAAAGCCATTCTGCAATGCCTTCATTTTCTTAATAGTTATGAAGCAAATGCTTTGTAGGCTTTTAAGAGTGTGAAACAAACCGTGTCTCACACCCACACATGGAACTGCGAGACATCGGTGCCCCACACTTCGACTTGCAGTGTGATGACCCTATCCAGTTACCCAACGATTCCCGCGAGGGGTCAAAGGTTCCGATCGAAATCGCACGCATTACCCCGACTTTCCGTGCTTTCGCCATGACGTAAGACCTCGACCTTCTTATCACGGCCCGTGCAGCTTGTCACTCCACAGCAGCCGGGCAGTAGTGCTCGCGCCTTCTCAGGAGATGGCGACCAAGTTCCTCATCCTGCTCGGCCTTCTGGCCGCCGTGTCGCTAGGTAGGCCGTCCTTCACACTCAACTCCTCCTCTTGGCCGCTTGTAACTTTGAGGAATGAGTGTTGCAAGTGCTAAATGGTGACGTGTGCACTCGACCGTCACCCCGGCTCCGGGCAGCGGCGTGACCGAATCCAATTTGAGAAGAATCTTCATGAACTTAGTTTAAGAATGTCCGTTTATTGTTCGATCAATATTTCCGTGACGTTTCTTTGAGTATTCCAAAAGCTGATTAAGTTTTTCAGTGAACATATATGGTGCTATAGCATCCCACCGACAAGCAAGAGCCTGCAGGTGAGGCTACAGGCATGTCCCTGTCGGTGGCGAACACTGTTAGGTCGCAGTAAGTGGCCTGACTAAGGAAAAGGGGGGCGGCTGGTCAAACTAAGGCGAGGGTCTTAGTCAGGCCAGAGGGCCTGGCCTCGGCTACCTGCACCTCCACGGCGGCGTGGCGGAGCGTGGCGGCATGCCTGGGTGGGGGTGGTGGGGGAACCCCGACCGGCCGGGTGGAGGCCGGCAGTGCCCGGCTAGAGACTGCTCCAGGATCGCTCCCCCCTCAGCGAGCCTCGTGGCGTAGTGGTACCGTCCACTGCCTCCATACTGGAAGCCGAGGTTCGAGTCCGATTCTACTAATTCTTTTGCGACGCCGGAGCGAGCCGCCGGGACCTGTCAAACCCTCATCAACGGCCGGCTATAATCCGGCCTGACCAACCCCTGAGCCTTAGTCAGGCCACCAACACCTTAGTCAGGACGGGACCCTAACTCGACTTAGTCAGGCCACTAAACCCGACCTTACAGTGAACCGTCTCAGTTCAGTTGTTTACCCGGTAAAAAAAAATCAATTTTGGGTCACTAATCAATTATGGGCCATTTTGATTGATGGGCTGCCTAAAAATCCATGAATGAGCGAATCGATTTCACATTCGGTACGGGCCTTCCCTTAACCTTCCTTTTTCACCTGAAACAGGGCGGATGTCTTAGCAACGACCACAAAGCCACCTATCGGGCAGCAAGGAGATACCTTCTAAATTCAACGGAGAATTGGGCCTATCCAAGGGCAAGAAAAAAGGGATGTTTGTCAAATATTTTCAAAAAATCGAAACATGGAATGAAGGGGGACGCCTCTGCCGACTTTAGTATATAATAGGTAAAGGACTTCAGTCAACCTAGGTTTTGCAGAAGTTGTACAGGGCTTGACGCGCGGGTAGCTTTACAAATTACTGCCCCACAATTGGTTCCAATTCCTCTTCGGAACCCCATTTGGGTGGCTGGGAGGACGTTCAGTTGGTGCGTTTGGCGTTGGAGCCGGTCGGATAATACTGCTTCGAGAATTTTGGAGAGGGCGGAAAGGAGGGATACGGGTCTAGGAATTGGGATCAAATTTATTTTTTCCGGGTTTGGGTAGAGGGACGACTTTCGCCTTCTTCCAGGCCGTAGGAAAATACTGCAGGATTAAACAACGCGTACCTGCATTGAGAGTGGACCCGTCGACTCTTAGCCGATGATGACTGTCTAGTGCTTTCTAAGTTCTCAGTCGAGTTCAACATTATCCAAAATATCAGCCTCCTGTCCGCAGCGGCCAGCGACTGCGGGTCGAAGTACTTCCAGTGCAAGGACGGCAGCAAGTGTGTCATTGCAGCCGACAGGTGCGACGGTCGCAAGGAATGCCGCGACGGATCCGACGAGGAAGGCTGTGACGGTGAGTGCAGCGAGTGCGGCCGAGTCAAGTCAGACCTACGTTTCGTCAAAGAAACGAACCATCGAGAAAACGAGCTACGAAATATGAAAAATTGTTTGAGCGGACGACCCTTAGATGCGCTGTGATTGGTCAACGCAGAGCAACTTCTCATACTCTGACGTTATTTCGGCTCGTTGGCTCGATTCGCTAACGAAACGTAGCTCAGACCCTGGCCCCTGGCCCGGAGACATACACAGTGTGGGCACGGAGGCGGCGAACGCTCGGAAGCTCAAGGACGTCGTCACGCTCACACTCTAAATGTTTTAGGAGGAAATTTCTCACATTACGAAAGGAAATGGCGCGAGCGTAACGAAGGTAGTTTTTTTCGTGTCACGAAGGAATATTGCTCCGTATTATGCTTGCGCCGAATTCACTGTAACATTGCTCAAATTTCATTGTAAGACATTTAGAGTGCAGTGTGCCAGAAGACCCAAGCCTACTCTACAAACTGAAGTATGTACTCAGTATGCGTTCACAGATGCATACTTAGATGAGTACACATCTACAGATGCATACTTAGATGAGTACACATCTACAGATGCATACTCAGCTGAATACACATCCTCAGATACATTCTCAGCTGAGTACACATCTGCAGATGCATACTTGGAAAAGTTAGGTATGCCATTGTTGGTGTGTTCTCAGCTGAGTATGCAACTGTAAATGTGTACTTGCAAGTATGCATCTGTAGACGCGTACTGCACTCTCAGCCTTTTACTGACTTTTTCTCACTGGCTTACGCATTTCTGTAAGCAACCATAATACTTAGTATTTTTTGTCAGTATTACTTAGCAATTGCTAATTACTGTACTGATATTACCCTTTTCTTAGTAAATTACAAAGAAACTTTTAAGTATTTAAGAACTTAATACTAAGTACTATATTTGCTTACAGAAATACGTCTGCTAATGAGAAATAGTCAGTAAACGGCTGAGAGTGTGAGTACACACTTCAGTTAGAGTACGTTACGAAGTGGCGCCCCTCTGTCCACAGTTCACACCGTGGCCCTGCGGGTCAACGCCACCATTAAGGCTCGCATGCAGTTCGCTGCGGTCCACGAAAACATCGAGCTGCACCTGTGCGGCGCCCAGAGCTGCAGCAACGTGTTGTTGTGGGGCGTGAGGGACGACGGCACGCTCATTTACACTGCAGACACGGACGCGAACCGCCTCGGCAGGGGCAACAGCAGGCGCGTCACGGTGAGTCATGAAATCATGCACACTAAATTCTTATGAACTTTTTCATGCATAGTTATGCATGCACAGATACGTCCATATGTTATTATGCATCACTGTGTACATTTTATGCAGGAAGACGCATAAAATGTACACAGTGATGCATAATTTTATACATACCTTATGGACGTTTCTGCGCATGCATAACTATGCATAAAATATGCGTCCTTATGCATTTAAAAAGTCCATATGAAATTTAGTGTGTGGGGAAAGGGTCGAACTTCAACTCAGTTACGATCCAATGGTCTGGGTCGAGAATTTTGCCTCGGGCGTTAGAAAACGTGAAAAGTGCCCCAAGTTACCGCCGTTGACGATGCAATTTTACAAAAGTCTGTCATAGTTAAGCTAAAACTGGCAGTACACAAGCCGATTTTCTTGGTATAATAGGTATTATTCATGTACTATTAGGCTTGTGTAGAAGTATTATAGGAGTCAGCTCCCCTTGACTAGGTCTAATGCAATGCACCCCAAACTCTATGCTCTTTGGATTTGTGCAAAGCGTTTCGCAAACAACGGACTAGATTTTACAATTAAACGAAAGGCCGTTACCCCTGCACCTCGCTCAAGCATGGCTCCACGAGTTCCCTAGGCCGTCGACAGGCCGTTTGCAGGGGAAACTAATACCAAAACAAATGAATGTTCTGAATGATCAAAAGTTCATGAAGCGTAGGTTCAATTTGTAAATAAACATTATGCTAACTCTAACTCTAACTGTCAGTTGAGTCGAGGAGAGGGAGTAATAGTGAACGAAACCGAGTCAGGTTTCAGAAAGATCCAGCGCTGAGGGCGCTTTGAGAGTATGACAAATTGGGTTGCCAATAGTATGGCAAACTTAGGATACGGCACATTAATAGTGCCAAGCCACTCCATTGAGGATTTCTGTGACTTATCACTTTCCGTTATGAAAAAAAGAGTCACAAATTACATCTCGTAGACAAGTCAAGTGGAACTATATCCAGAAAGTACGGACTGTCCGGACTGCATCTAATAGGAAGTATTTCACTGCTTGCTTTCTGTGCAGTTCAACACGGCCGGTAGCGGAAACTTTACCCCCGGCGAGGTGGTGCTGGAGGTGCAGCACCGGCCCGGGCAGCTCGCCGTGTGGCGGCAGGGCCGGCCGGACGACGTGGCGGAGGTCCCCGTGGAGGCGGACTACGGCACGCTCAGGGTCAGGCCCTACGTGTGGTCCACCGACATGCCCGTGCAGTTCGCTGGTGAGTGCTCGCCATGAACGTCGCTTAAACGCCCTCTTATCAACATTTTCCGTAGGCTCGTACAGACCTGGAAGACTGAATTGTCCTACGGAGAACACTGTGAGGACCTACGGAGAATTTTGTACGGTCCTAAGGTCAGTTGGGGTAATTATGGGACACGGGGTGAAAATGAGACAGCTGATTCTTAGTCAAGATTTGACATTTTTTAACGCATGACGTACCAAATGTGATGTTTATATTGAGTAAATAACATTTACTACGGCCCAAGTTCTAAAATCTCGATTCCTGACTAAAAATCAGCTGTCCTATTTTCACCCCGTGTCCCATACTGATCCTACTGCACCGTGCTGCTGCAACAATTTTTTTTGATCCAGGAAGCGGAAGAAAGAAAGAACTCGATTTATCTCCAAATTCATAGATTTTCACTTGTATCACTCTCTCCAATCGACATTTTATCAGTATTCATTGATGTTTGTGCGCGGCGCATTTACAGAGTTTTGTTGAGAATTTGGCAAGACGCAATTGATGATTGGCTGAGCGATAGCGAAGCCTGTTACTCCAGTGCGGTTGAAAAGTTTTTTCTGTCTGTCTGTCTGTCTGTCTGTCTGTCTGTCTGTCTGTCTGTGTACACTACTCCTCCTGAACGGCTCGGCCGATCTGGCTGAGATTTTGCAGGCTTATTAGGTATGTTCTTGGCTCGGCACACGCGAAATTTCACTATCCTAGCTCAACTGGTTCAGCTTTTATAGCCGAAAAACACCCAAAAAACGGCGAAAAATCGAGTTCTCTGCAGACACACAGTAAACTTCTTACGGATACGTCCTATCTGTATTACGGACATTTTTGTGCAATTGCAATTACGGATAGATTTTGCTTGTAATACGGATGAAATCATCCATATTACAAAGAGTTTTACGTCCGTACCATACGGATATTTTCGTCTGTATGTTACGGACGTAAAACTCTTTGTAATACGGATGATTTCATCCGTATTACAGGCAAAATCTATCCGTAATTGCAATTGCACAAAAATGTCCGTAATACAGATAGGACGTATCCGTAAGAAGTTTAGTGTGCAGATCACTTCTGCCTTGAAGAAAGGGTGATCTGGGGGGCGGAGCCCCCCAGCCCCAACAAGTTAAAAAGTTACAAGGGTCAAGAACGTGTTATCGGTAGATGAAACAACTCTACCTGGAATGGAGGGGGGTCTGGGGGCCACCCCCCAGCATGCAACAAGTAAAGAAGTAACCGACGATGGAGAAGCCAATGCCTGCCGAAGGCAGGCTAGCGCCGCAGGCCAAGGTAGGTACGCCAGGCGCGGATTGAAGGAACAGGCCGCGAGACATCGCGAAGCCTGTTACGACAAGACGCGGTCTGGCGTAAACCTACCTTGTATCGTTTGTAGAACAAACAAAAATGTTACTGCACTTATTAATGCGCAGAAAGGTCAATACGTTATTAAACAAAAACTCAGTACGAGTCTGAGCGTGCTTGTAGAGCCTTAGAACGCTTTACATCCCCGCGTGGAAGGATCTGTAGTGGAACTGTAGATGAAACTGCAGTTTTTCATCTGCAGTCCGTTTCTGTAGTTCTTTTCTTCCCTTTATTTGTATTTAAAGTGTAATCAGTTTTGTATCGTCCGCTGCAGTCAGTTGTATGATTTAGAGTGGACAAAAACTGTCCTTCAACTGCACTCCGTTGTAAGATCCAACTGCAGTCCACTCTGTCATTCCAAAATGCAGTTGAAACCGCAGTTCAAGTTAGCTTCATTTAAAAGTGCAAAGTGTTGATATCGAATGCAGTTCTCAACTGCTCTTTACTTACACTTGGAAAGTAAAGACTAGTGTATGGCATATACAGTCCCGGGCTCAATTCATGATGCAGTCAGAAACTACACTTTTAGTTTGTCCCACTAGTAGTCCAAGTGTACTACCATCTTCACTCTGAATGTCCTTCAGCGCTGACACTTAAAAGTGATTTAATCTCTTTGAATTTCGCAAAGTGAAGCTCCGCACTGCTTCCAAACAGGCATGTCCGGACAAATGACGTGAAAATTTCCCGTGGAGTGGCCCGCGCCGGGCGGGAGTTGCGGTAAATCCCTCGTCTACCTGAGCGCGCGGGCACGGCCAGTGGCATCGCCCGCGCTGGACCCCGTCCCTCAGATGTCTCCGTGGCGCAGATGGCAGCGCTGCGGACCGACAAGCGCGGTCGCCCGGGTTCGACTACTCATCAGACTGACAAACTTGCACGACAAAACAAGGAAAGGAGGGAAGAGGAAGGGCGTGACTGTAGAGGGCCATCAATTCTCGACACTATTCTTTATATTTTTACTCAAATTTGTAGTTTTTACAAAACTGTTTTGAACTGTCCGACAAAACTGTAGTTTAAACTGAAACGTCCGAAATAAGTACTAGATTTTTTGCAGTCTGAGCACAGTTGAATGACAGTTAAGTGTACTTAAACTGCATTTTAACTGCAGTTCATTGCAAATAACTGCACTTCAACTGCAATTGAGCTGCAGTCGTATATCTGCAGTTAAACTGTGGTCAATGCATACTTCAAACTAGCAGATTTATGAACACATTAAGATCAATTGAGTTACACTTTAACTTCCCTCCTTATTCACTGCAAGGTGAAGTATGACTTCAGTTCTTGGGTGCAATTCAGACTGCAGATTCTCCCACGCGGGTCATTACACTGAACAATTTGACTCAATTTCTAGCAGTTTAGCAGAAAATCCACTAGGGAAAGCGGTGTTACCCAACTTAATCCGTTTCACAGTCCAATTTTCATCGAAAAATGGAGTTGACTCAACCCAAGTCACACACCTAACTTCTTACTGATACATCTGTCTATATTACGGACATTTCTGTGCAATCGTAATTGCAGATAGGTTTTGCTTGCAGTACGGATGATTTCATCCGTATTACAAACAGTGTTTCGTCCGTACTTTACAGATTTTCGTCTGTATGTTACGGACACGAAAACCTTCGTAATACGGATTAAATCATCCGTATTACAAAGCAAATCCATGCGTAGGGTAAACTATACAGTTATCGGCAGGGGTACAGTTATCGTCATCTCGGCGAATAATTGGGTCCTGCTCTGCAAGTACGCGTCCGTTAGTGATGCGGCCAATGCAGGTCGCTAGAGACACCTTTTGAGCATGCAGGACCGAGACAGCATCGCGTTTGACTGAGCATGTCAGCCAACAAAGCCATGTTTCTAGTCAAGTGCAGAATGAAGGTGCTTCGGCCGCCCGTTCTTATCTTCCATGCTAGGAACAGGGGTTCAATAATTCGTTAAATTCGTGAATGTGGGCCGGAAAAAACTATTCTCCTTGCCAGGTTCTTTCTCCCCATCTATTCAAGAGGTCATACTGTGCTTGGCGCACAGAAATTCCTCTTGCTTGTCCTCAATCGGGGGGTGCCGATAACTGTACCCAAGAAATCACCCCAAACACAGTTATCGTCAGGGTGGCCTCAAACTTCACTGGTGTTTCGGGCGTCGTTCGGGAGTTAATATTCTGATGCATTATGACCGGAGGAAGACCCCTGCCAAATTTGAATGAAATCGGACCACTTTTTCCCAGTGATCTACGTGATTTACGAAATGTCCTCCTCGGCGCTTTGAAAGGTTGTTTTTTTCGCAGCTCATGGTGCTAGTTGTCCGTGAGTCTTAAATGAAGGGCGTAAGAGGCATAACAGAAGGGAGAGGGGGTTCGTGACATGTCGAGGGATGATACAGAGTGTCTGTGACGACTGATAGAAATTTTCGTCACTTTCGGTCATGTTTTGCCTTTTTAACAAGGGGTGCCGATAACTGTCATAAATGGTGCCGATAACTGTATTTTGGCTGCCGATAACTGTGTTTTTGGTAACCTTTTTCTCAGGTTCAATAAGAGCGTCACAAAAAGTTTTTGGTGAAATCTTTGTCAGCCACTTCGTTGTCTAGATCCTTCTGAGGTGTCTGGAACAAGTCGCACGGGCCTAAGTGTCATAACCTACCCTCGAGGCCCTTGAAAAGAAAGCGATGCTCTTAAACTGACGGTAACTGTATAGTTTACCCTAAATCCCGTACAAAGTACAGTAGATCCTGTAAAAAAAGTACAGTAAATCCTGTGCTCTGGACTACAGTGACAGCTGCACTAATCACTACAGGATTTACTGTGTTTTTTTTGCCACAGTGTAAGCACGAGGTATGCACTCCTTTTCACAGCGTTGTGCAGAGAGAAGCCAACCGCAAATGAAAAGTCTGTCCGCAACAACGCCCCGTCCCACACATGGCCTCTTTGTCCGCAGCGGCCGGTGAGAGCTGGCCGGAGGAGTTCTTCCACTGCAACGATGACAGGAGTCGTGTTCCTGGAGTCTTCAGGTGCGACGGTAACAGTGACTGCAGTGACGGCTCCGACGAGGAAGGCTGCGACGGTGAGTGTGACCAAGAGAAGGGTGGGGCAATGGATCTAAAATCGAAATCGTTTTTCACAGACATGGGATCCTACAATATTGTAACACTACCCTACCCTATTGCCAACGCAGTTCTGGCCAGGAACACCCCCTTCTTGCCCATCAAAGGCCTCAAAAAAGGGTCTATAGGTCAAAAATGACACTTTCACGAGCATAACATTGGAAACAGAACAAATTTGACATGCCCTATCTCGCTTTTGGTGCGGAATACATGACCGAATGCTGTGATATATAGAGAGAGCTGTCGGTCAAGGTCTTTTGCCCGGGCGCAGGCCGTTTTACCAAAAAAAAAACAGCGCGAGAATCGTCGTTTTAGCTGTATTTGGATGATTTTCGGCATCTGCGCAGGGTGTTTTGCCGTTTAAACGTCTCACTCGATCCATCTCTAAAGTCACGTTCTGGAGTAGCATTTTGCATCCGCTCAACTCCGGAAGTAACCTGAGTTCGGAAATGGCCCTGATGGCGCCGGAAGTGGACACGTCTCGGTCAAAATAAGTAAGCGCCGCTTTCGACATTTCGGCTTCATGCGCACTTCCGGCGCGATCGGGGCCGTTTCCGGTTCCACTCAGGTTACCGTGAAATAAACATCTGATGCCACGGAACAACTCTTGATATGAAGTTTTTGTGGGCGTAAGCTTCGCACAGAATTGTGCACGTGTTTCAAAATGCACGAAATGGTGCACAACTAAGCCCGAAAGTGTCCGTTGTTGCGCAGGAATTCGTGCGTTTCACGCGCATTCTCAGTGTTGTTCAAAAGCTAAAGCACAAAAAAATCTTACGTATTAATATGCCCTGGCCCGGAAGAAGAAGAACAAAAACGGAAGTTAGAAATGGGAGTTTCTATGAGAAATATTCGCTCCAGATGAGCATCCGCAGCGTATATTTCTCATAAAAACTTCCGTTTTCGTTCTTCTTCCGGGCCAGGGCTGCTCCGAAATACCCTATTTAGTGCGGCCGTTTCCCCAAATAATAAGCCATTTGGTGAGTGACGCCCCTCTGTCCGCAGCAATGCTGGCAGCTCACGAGGTGGCCCTGCCACTCAACGCCTCCGCCACGGCCCGCGTGCAGTACGCCAAGGTCCACAACGACATCGAGGTGCACCTGTGCGGCGGCAAGAACTGCAGCGTCGTGCTACTGTGGGGCGAGAGTGCCAACGGCTCGCTGAGATACGATACGGCCACGGGCTGCACCCGCTACGGCAGGCTCGGCAACAGCGTCAAGGTGAGTGCCCCGTGCCCCCGCACTGGTCAAAATTTTGTCGTTACATAAGGATACTGTAAAGTAAAACTAGCATGTCCCAGAAATAATTGTCACAACAAGTTCATTTTGAGGTCCAAATGAGGGCCCCAGCTCCTATTACGAGTTATGAAGGTTAACGTAAACTTTTAGTCGCTTCTCCTAAATTCTCCTCACCACAAAGAATTACCTACCCAGTCTTTAGATTCTGGCAATTATATCTATTTTTGCATAGGAAAAAAAATATTTGGCAGAGTTGAACTTATCAGTCCAGAAGAGCCTGTAAAAGTTAATTTACCAGCCTTATTATAATTTTTCTTCAGATTTGATAGACTCCCCATTTGGTCTTGGTAGAAATACTAAGGTAGATATTAATCAAAGGGCAACACTATCTTTTTCCTATTCAAAAAAAGGTAAAATTGCCAGCAGCTGAAGACTGGGTAGCTCATCCTTATGTCGTGAGGAGAATTTGTGAGAAACAACTTAAAGTTTACGAAAACCTCCATAACTTCGAAACCAATAAGAGTTGAAGCCCTAGATTTAGTATATGAGTTTATGCAATAAAAAGGATCCATTAACCATCAATTGAGACATCTGACACAAGTATTTAAATAATGTGAAATAGCCACTCTTTTCACTTTACAATAACCTAAACAATACATTCATTCTCTATTTATTTTAGCGACAAGATTTGTTTTGTATTGGATAGCTTGTTTGAACACTGTCGAATTGCAACAAAAAGGTACAGCCCTAAAGGAGTTCCACAAAGACACACTTGAAATGACTTTCTTAACAGCCAACCTTTAAAACCAAGTCGTTGACCAGACCAACAGCTAATGTTGTTAGTCTGCGACAAGTATATACTAGATTACTATAGTAAGTCAATAACTATGATTTGTAGTGTCCGCGTCATATATTGATTGAATCCTCTTGTTGCTTACTTTATTTTTCATAGATTTACTTCTAATATAACAATTATCTCACTATGACATTGAAAAAACAAAACAGTTGATAAATCCAATGTTATACTTGTCATCTATTTTAAGTTGGGGATAAACGACGTAAGATGCTCTTCACACACAATTTTGAGCATTTATGGAAATATCAAGAATTTTGTTCTTTGGCATACTGTTGCTTTCTAGATACAAGGACATTTCGTTCGCTTTCTTTCATCATGCACAATGACACTCAAGGACTAGACTTTCACGCCTTTGCTTGTGTCTGTACAACTAGTTTCAACAGTGTGTTGTCTGTACAGGAAAACAGGGGAAGCGGCCCTGACTTCTCCCCCGGCGAGGTGGTGCTGGAGGTGCAGCACCGGCCCGGGCAGCTCGCCGTGTGGCGGCAGGGCCGGCCGGACGACGTCGTGGAGGTCCCCGTGGGGGCGGACTACGGCACGCTCAGGGTCAGGCCTTTTTACTGGGTCGCCGACATGCCCGTGCAGTTTACTAGTGAGTGCAGCTACAATGTTAACTCGCGCCGCGCGTCTCGGGGCGACGACACACAAACAAGTTATTACTCTTCAAACCACGTCTGGTTTACAAAGCTTTGTTTTGAATTCCGAGAAAACATGGCGGCGATGTATTTAAAAACTGTTAACCAGGATTCTGAAACTAAGAAATATTACTAAAGAATATTACAATGAAATTTCACCTATGTTATTCGAATGTTACAGTGAATTCGGCGCAAGCATAATACGGAGCAATATTCCTTCGTAATACGAATCGTTTTAGCTTTTTCATTGTAAGATACAAAGAAAAACCTTCGTAATACGAAGAGAAACCACCTTCGTATTATGCTTGCGCCATTATGGGAAATTTCTTCGTACGACATTCTGAGTGTAGGACACTTTTCTTCGAAATATAAAAGAAATTGCAACTTAAAATTACTTGTGGTTGTTGTTACGTCTTTGTTCGGTGCAGTTCCTTCATATATTTTGAATTACGCACGAAGAAACATTTGGTAATCTGTGCTCTACAAATCAAAGAGTGTACATAGCATGCTCTAACTGGAGCATGCCTGCAAGCACGCTCTAGCTAGCGCATGCCTGCCAAGCATGCACTAACTAGTGCATACATGCCATGTACACGCTTCCTGATACAGAAAACTCCCTATCCCTTTTGCAGTAAATGTATGCTTCAGTTAGCGTGTACATGGCATGTATGCACTAGTTAGTGCATGCTCGGCAGGCATGCGCTAGCTAGAGCGTGCTTGCAGGCATGCTCCAGTTAGAGCATACCATGTACACTCTTTGATTTGTAGAGTGGTAGACAGTTGTGTAGCCTATGAAAAGAAATTAGATTTGTAATACAAAAACTCATGTGCCCAAATGGATGTCGGTCGTAAGAACGGCCATTGTGGGGCCACCTTAACTGCGCATGAAATGTTGAAGCCGACACCATCTGATTGGTTCTTACTCTCTTTCTCTCTGTTTTGCCGCCTACAGGTGGTGCGACGACGGCTATGTCCAACTCATGACCCAATGACGTCCGCCCGGCAGCACAGCGTCCCAACATCAGTAGTCTCTCTCCAAGAAGTGCACTCTGATTCCGTGGCTGCAGGACAGGACACTGTGTTGTTGCTTTACTTTTAGTTCTGAATAAACAAACAATCACACATCTCTTTATTTCAATCCTCGCCAACAGAGAAGACCCTGCATACCCCCCCAGAAAACATACAAATACGGATTTTGATTCTGCATTTCACCAAATAGGAATTGAACTGACGTAATTTTTTTGCAGATGATACATTAAACACAAACAAATAATGACAGAACAGAAATAGTACTATAAATATTGCGTTAGCATGCATGTATTCTCAGGATGTGAGGCGCCAGACAGTGAGTCAGAAAAATGTCTCAGAGGGGCTCTATTCCGCTGCGCGTGCACTGCAAATTCAAAAGCAATAATGCAGTGCCTTTGGGGATACGAAGAAGCATCGTCGACAAACGCCCACTGTAAAAAATTCCGTACTTTTGTACGGAAATGGTACAGAAAAATATAGTGCGGAGATACGGAGAGAAGTACGGAACGTTCCGTACTTACTCCATAAGAACATGAACATGAAATGGGTAGAGAAAAGAGGTACGGAACGTTCCGTAGTTTGCAACAAGGGGAAATAACTCCTGAAAATTTGTACACCGAAATTCAAAATTCATGAATTTCAAGCCGAAATTCATTGAAATTCATCGAAATTCATTGAAATTCATTGAAATTCACAAAATTCATTGAAATTCATGAATTTCGGTCTAAAATTCATCGAAATTCATTGAAATTCATGAATTTTGGTCCGAAATTCATTGAAATTCATCGAAATTCATGAATTGCGGTCTGAAATTCGTTGAAATTCATGATATTTGATCTGGAATTCAAGAAACCACGTGAATTATGGTCCAAAAGTAATTAAGATTCTTTTAAATGGAAAAAAGTATATCAATTGATACAAAACTAAATAATAGTTGTACAAAACGTGGAAGTGCATTGAAAAACAATCATTTTCATGCAATTTTTGAAATTTTAAATGCGGTAAGAGCTCTCCGGTGTGCGCGCTTAGGCTGAAGCAGCCTGGCTTCTAATACCGTCGGAAGCATTCGATTTTTCTCGGTCTAGATTTGGTCTACATGACCGTCTACAGACCTAAGCAACCCCGTCTAGCATTGAGTGGCCGTTGCGGCTGGAAGGCCCTAAAAAAATTACCGCGGCGTCGGGACTAAAAAGTAGATGTTCATCCCTTGGCTTGGCGCGAGTGTATCCCCGCGTTTCCGTCGCGTTGCTAGGCGTGCTGTGAGCACTCACCTACGTCATGCCCGGGCGGCCAGGGGGCCGTCCGAAAGCCGTTCCAGAAGGTTCGAGAAGGTTTTCGCTAAAGAACGGCCGGGAAAAAAGGCCCAGTCTCCAGAGAAGTGAAAAACTGTTTGCAGACGTTCCCGCAATTGGGCAAGGTCAAGGAGCCCTGCCGAGGGAAGGAAGGGAGGGGGGGGAGGGGGGGGGCAGCCGGGGCGGCGACCTGCATCCTTGGGCCGAAAAGCCCCCCTCGCCCGCCACGCCGTCAGGATATTGGGACCTCAGCTGCCCTAAAAATTTGGCCTAGAAATTCATTCGAACATGTTTCTGAAGCAGTGAAAGGAATGGAAGAGAATTTGAAATTTTCAGATTTGTAATGTAAAGCAAAAAATTAGATCACTGGGGTGAGCCACTTGTGAACAAAGACTATTCATCCCAAAAACCCCTCATTGTAAAACGCCATTGTCGTCTGTTTTCTCTCTTCCCCCCCGAGACCCCCCCGAGAGTGAGCCAGTGTGCGTGTGTGTTGAATTTTGTTGGTGCGAGGGTCGGCCTGCCTGCCGCGGTGCACTCCTCCTATTGTCTCCAAATTTTAAATTCTGTCGCTTTCAATTTTTCAACACTTTAAGCGCCCTATTCTGCTTCCTCATGTCCACGCGGTTAACGCCATATTTTTTTTTTTGGATTTTGTGATATTTTTGAGTTTTAACCCAATTTTATTACGGAATTATAGAACCCATTTTTTTGTGTATCTCCCCAAGGCCTAGACCTAGAACTGAATTTCAAAACTGCTCCTGTACATCTTTTCATGGCGCATTGAACGAGCTCCTTTATTTTACTCTTAGACTTCTAGAAGCGAATTTACATTTTGCAGCCAGAGGCAATTGTCCTTGGGGGGGCCCAAAACCGCTCCTCTCTCGGCCGACCCGGACTACCTGGTTGGGTCTCGCCCGCAACCCACACTGCCGGATGGCTGCACTTTTCAATGGAGAATCGGGCGCCCTTTCCCTTGCGTTGGTTCAACTGAGCTTGTCGCGCACTCGTGAAAACTCAGAGGGCTTCCCCATTCGGTTACAAAGTGTGTGTATATTTGTGACTAGAGACCGGCACTGCCGCTCGTGGCGAGCCGGCCCGGCTCGGCAACCGAGTCTCTGTGCGAGAGAGGGGTCCGAGAAAGCCGAAGCCGAGTTTGCCGAACCCCCCGGGTGCAAACGGGGCTCGTCTGAGCCGTGGCCGCCCGCGCCTCGTCGCCTAGCTTGGCGGCCTTGCGGGCGCTGGGGGAGACAGACACGTTCGCAGCTCCCAGCACAGCCCCCCGGCCGACTGCCGACCGACTCCGCACAGAGCCTCGTCGCTCTGTCTCTCTCGCACTTATGCGGGCCCCCCCATGAGTGCGACAGAGACGGAGCGACGAAGGTGATATGCGGAGTCGCTCTGCAGGCCAGCGGCAACGAAATCTCACACCGAAATTCCTCAATTTTGTGATGAAATTCAATGAAATTCATTAAAATTCATCGAAATTCATCGAAATTCATCGAAATTCATCGAAATTCATTGAAATTCATTGAAATTCACTGAAATTCACTGAAATTCACTGAAATTCACCAAAATTCATGCGAAATTAAAAATTTTTGTACACCGAAATTCAAAGTTATTTCCCCTTGGTTTGCAAGTACGGACGGTCCAGACAAATTATCGACCAGACATGTTCCGTACTTTTTTCTCAAGGTGCCCTTACCAATATATCTTGTCTTTCAAAACGGGGATACACAGAAGTATCGCCAAAATCTGGCAATACACAAATAACTAGTCCCCCAGGGGCTAGCTCTGTTCAAAGTTTATTGCGAAATCGTGGCAGTGTGACCCCTTCCCGGCCCTTCGCTGATCTCTCTCTCTCTCTCTCGCTGTGGTGACTTTTTCCGAAACGTACTGACGCTACCGGAGCAGCGGTAACTGTTTTCCTCTTTAACGGCCACCCACCCGAAGAAATACACATGAACATACGTGACGACCCTCATCCAGTACACTCTAAATGTCTTGCGAAGAAATTTCCCATATTATGAAGGAAATGGCGCAAGCATTATACGAAGGTGGTTTTACTTCGTATTACGAACGTTTTTCTTTGTATCTTACAATGAAAAAGCTAAAAAGATTCGTATTACGAAGGAATATTGCTTCGTATTATGCTTGCGCCGAATTCACTGTAACATACGTATAATATAGGTCAAATTTCATTGTAAGACATTTAGAGTGTACGCCAACGAGCTGCGTCCATAACTTTCCCACTCAAATCACATCAGTCATCCCCACTACTCGTATTCGTGGCGAAGATATACGCATTCGACCGTCTTATCATCGGCACACAGCCAGCTCAGCACGGGCCCACAATGGTAGTTTGTCGCTCCGCAGCAGTCGGGCAGAAGTGTTCGCGCCTGCCTCACAGGATGGCCACAAGGTTCCTCATCCTGCTCGGCCTTCTGGCCGCCGTCTCTCTGGGTAGGCCCCCGAACTGAATCCGCGCTTAATAGTTTTGTACAACTTTGTACGCGTTATTGCATAATTTAAAACCAGTAAAACGTTTTGCCTTGAATTTTGATCAGATTTGCAGAAACTTGAGCATTTTCAAGCATAATATTATGTCGAGTCCACGTTTGCACGAAAACGTGTGCAAGTTACACGAACAAAATTCTACACAATAATTTGGTGTATGTCTCTGGTAAGTCTGAAGGATTTACCGTAATTTTTCCTGAGAGTGCACTCCGGAGGCATTCTGGAGACGGTCAGGGGGCCCTTTACGGAGGGACGCAAAACATCGTCGAGACACGGTGGAGATATGCCGAGTTCCTCGCTAGCGCCTCTTCTCTATATCGAAAAGCTAGAGGGTCATTCCACGCCAAGTCGTCAAGGTTTTGAGGGACGTGTCGGCCGAACCCAGCGGTATTTTTAGGGATTGTTGGCCCTATGGGCCCATTGAAGGCCCGGTACTTTTTTCCCCGGAAAGTCGAAAAGGGTCGAGATATCTCAAACTTCATTTTTGGTAAAAGAAATTACATTCAACCTAAAAAAATTATATCTCGGAAAGTATTTGTCCTTTCGCAAAACCCCTTATACCGTTGGAAAGAGGGAAAAAAAACTGAAAAAGATAGGATTTTTTCCAAAAATTCTACGAATCTTTTACTTTTTGCACTTTTATAGTGAAATGTTAAAAATGATGCAACTTTTTTGTACCCTGATCAAAAATGGCGTTCTATGGCCCAAAATGAACCTTGATATGTCCTCTAAAAAGAAAAATCAACGCCCCAATGTAATTTTGTTTAGTTCCCGGGGAACGAGCGGTTCTTTGGACCACTGCCAAAGGGTACTTTCCCGCTGGAACGGCTCCCACGCCACGCTCGCCTTCTCTGTGTTAGCGGACGTGATCGCCAGGGGTTTGGCGACCGTCAGGTAGGATTCCCACCTCACTTTTCAGCCCACTAAGGAAGCGCTGGACCTCAGCGCCTGAAGGGCAAGCGAGGTAGAGACTGGGAAGGAACGAACACTGATTAAAATTTAGTCGTAACTTAGCGACACATTTATCGCTAACTTTTTTTGCGACAAGATTCGTTGTGGAACAAATAGCTTGTTAAACCGTTGTCGTATAGGGAAATTTAAAGGGGTAATTTCCCAAAGACTAACTGGTAATAACGCACCACAATAATACATCAACGACAAGTAGTGAAAGTCCAAAAGAAATTTTGTAATGTCGCTAAATTTATTTTGCATGGTTTTTTTTAACAAAAGTAATTTCCATATGACTTAAAAGAACAAAACAGATGATTATTCATAATATGCTTTAG